AGAAGTAGAAAAATTAAGTTAACATAATGATGTCTTAGAGAATGATGCTTAATAAAAGGAATAAGAAATAATTCAATTGAAAAATCATAGTCAAAATTTAAGTGTTGAACTTGAGAAATTCAAATAATATTCTTAGTTGGAATAAGAAAAATAATAATAGGTGATTCTAGAATTAACTGAAAATCTAAAGTAGTCAGAACAGTTGTTCAAATAATAAAACAAATCTATGGAAGATTAGATAAAGAGTTTAGAATAACAAATAACAAATTAAAATCAAAAGATAGTTCAATTATAAGATAGTATAAATCAATTGAATTAAAAGTATTAAGAATTAAAAAATGAAAAATAATTGAAAGAAGCTGAATATGAAAAGTAGTTATAAGAACTATAAAATCAGAGCGATATTCAAAATGAAGCAATCGATTCTCAAATCTAAACAAATGTTGAATAATCTGACTAGATTTCAAAATTGGAACAGAATAAGTCATAATTATTAGAAGAACTTTAAAATGTTGTTGAAGAAAAAAAACAGGTAGAATTAACATATAAATAAGCAATTGAAGATTTGAAGACAGTTCAAGATCAAAGAATAGCAGAGATCAATAAAAAGAATTAGGATTTAGTGCAACTTAAGAATATGATCTTGATATAAAAGGATGAAGAACTGGAGGAACTTCGATAATAGCTTTAATAAAGTTAAGAAGATTTTATTAAATAATAAAATCTGAATGATTCTTTATAAATCCATTCAAGAGAATTGAAAAATAAATTTGATGAATATATAGAAACAAAGTTTTCAGAAGAGAAGCGATTAAATAATGAATTAGATTTGACTGAACAAAAAATAAATGAATTATAAGAACAAGTTGATCAACATGCTGAAACAATACAAAACTTATAGGGAGATATTTAAAGAAAAGACTTAGAATATTTATAATTATAATCTCAATTATAGACAAAAATCCAATAGCACACTCTAGAACTTTCTGACCTTGGTGGAAAGATGAATGAGGAATAATTGAAGCATCAAATTGAAATTAATCAAAAGCAGCAAGAGATAAGTGACCTAAATTTTTAGATTTAAGAAGGTAAGGAGAAGATTGAAGAATTGTCAAATATTATTATTGATAAAGAAACAATGATTAAGTCTTTGGAGGAGACTATTGAAGGAAATACTAATTAGGTGCAATAGCAAAGTATTAAGATTCAAGAACATTAGAAATCTATCGAAGGGCTCACTTTAGAAAATCAAAATAAGCAAAAGTAGTTAGAATAATCAGCCAAGATTATTAAAGATACATAAATAGAATTAGAAGAGTTGACAACTTAATTGACCGATTAAATTGAAAAGTTTAATCAAATTGAGGGATCGTATTTAAAATTGCAGCAATAAAATAAATCATTGGAGGAACTTTATAATAACACATTGAAATTATTAGAAACAAAGGAGGAAGATTTGACAACTACAGTAATTTAGAAGAATGAAGAGATTGCAAGCATTCACTTATCATTGGAAAAGCTAAAATAGGAGTCTGAAAAGGAGTATAAGCAATTGGAAGATTATTCATATGAGTAATTATTGAAGAAAATGGATGATATTGCTTAAAAGGATTGGGAGATTGATCAACTCAATCAAGTGGTTCAGGATTTGAACTAGAAATTGCAGGCTGGTATGGAATGTGTTGAGCAGTATGATAAAGAATTCGACAATCAAATAAAAGAGATTGATGAATTAAAATCTAAAATCAAATAGAAGGACAAGGAAATTAAAGAATGTAATGAGATTATTGAAAAATAGAAATTAGAAATTGAAGCTGTTAACAAATAAATGAATGAAGAACTTTAATTAGTAACCTAATCACTCTAGGAAAATTAATCGAATTATGATCTTGAACTATAAGCTAAATTAGCTATTTTAAATAAAAAAGAAGCTCAGATCCTAAATCTAGATTTTCAGATTGCAGAATTCTAATAAAATCTAAATTAATAGAAGGATTAAATAGAGGAATTAGTTCAAGAGAGAAATGTGCTAATTGAAAGATAAAAGCTGATAGAGGATGAAAAAAATTAGAGTGACAAAGAATTCAAATAATAAATTTAAAGTTTGAAGGAAAGCTTATCTGAATTCGAAGAAAACTATAATTACTTGAAATAGTAACATGAAGAGGTATAAAATTAATTTGCTTCTTAAAAAGAGTTGTATAACGATTTATAATAAAAATATGAAGAGGATTAAGAGAGTAGTCAATAATTAATTTAAGATTTATAAAGTTAAAAGGATAAATAAAATATTGAATTTTAGAAGTACATAAAAGAATCAGATCTGAATATTCAGAAAGCAAATAATAAGATAAATCAAAAAGAAGAAAAAATTGCTCAATAATAACATTTGATAGAAACTCTGTAAAGTAATCTTGAAGATAAAAATTAATAGCATGATGAATAAGGATAAAGGTTATTTGAGAAATAAAATGAATTGAATTAAGTTATTCTAGAAAAATAAACTAATGAGAAAAAGCTTAGTTAGCAAATTTAAGAATGCAATAATAAAATTGCTTCATACAATTTAGAAGTCGCATAATTATCTTAATTAATAACTCTAAAGGAGTCAGAAAAGTCTTAATTATCAAAATAATTTGAGCAAACTTCAGACTAATTAAAATAACAGTTATTCTAATAGACCTAATTCATTTAAGAACTTTAGGATTACATCAATGAAAGTTAAGAAAATGAATCAAAAGCAGGATAGAAGATTAATACTCTCAATCTATAAATTAGCACATTGGAATTTGAAATTTCTAATCTTAATTGCGAAATTCTCAAGCTGCAGAATACTATAAAATAATCGAAAGAAGAAAAATTAAGATTGGAAGAGGATCATCAGCAAGATATTATTTAGATTCAATAATAATTGTAGGCTGCTATTAGTGCCAATCAATTATTGAAGAATGAAGCTCAAAAGAAATAAATTAATTTGTTTGAGAATGAATAAAATTTAAATAGTAAAATAGAACAATAAGTTTATGAAATTAAGATTTTAAAAGAAGAGATTTAGAGGCTCTAATTAGAAATGTAAAGGCAAGTAAAAGAAAGTGATTCTAATTTAAATAATAAAAATGAAATGATTGACCTATTGAAAAAATAGTTAATTGATATATAGAATAGCGCTGCTAATGCCGAAGAAATGAAGGATCTAATTTAAAGGCAATTACAAGACTAAAGTTAATCTCAAGCTCAATAATTAAATTAACAAATAAAAACGAGGGATGATCAAATTACAAATCTTAAATAATAAATTTAGCAATTGTCTTAAAGTAAATAACAATAAGAATAGCTATTAACTGAATAAATTAGTGTTCTGAATTAATAAATAAGATCAAAAAATGAATCTATGAATTAATTAGATGAGTCTATAAAATACTTTAAAAGTTAAATTGATTAATCAAATCTGACAATAACCTAATTACAATAAGAAATATAAAGTTTAAATAGTAAACTTCAATCTTCTAAAAACGACTAAAATCAAATTAATGAAGAGAACAAAGAATTGTAAAATAAAATTGAAATTGTATAATAAATATCAAATACTGCGTAATCAGAATTAGAAAAGCTAAAGTAACAAATTTTGAAATTAGAAGAAGAAAAATAAAGACAAAGTGAGTAAATAAAACAACTGAGTTCTTAAATAAATGATCAAAATTCTTAAAATTTACAAATAACGCAAAAGTTGTTAAGCTAAAAGGAGGAGAAAGAGTTAATTGATCTATAATAGAAAAATATTTAAGAATAATATTAACAACATAGAGAATAATCAGAAAAACAGATATATCAATTAACTAATAACGTTTCATAATTAGAATAGACTTTGTCGGAAATTTAAAATAATTTGTTGTTGGTGAATAAGTAAAAATCAGAATCTGAAGAAAAATTGAATAAATTAGGCCAATAATTATAAAATGTGAATTCTTAATTGTCAGATTCAAGAGATAAATACGAAAGCGAGAATTAATAATAATTATAATAAATAAATAATCTTAGTTAAGAAAATTCAGAATTATAATAGACTCTCAATGAGAAATTAGAGGAGTTAAGTAAGCTCTAGCTTGACAATACCAAATTAGTGTAAAATTAGAAAAAGGTTGATAAATTGGAAAGTTAAGTGTAAGAATTGAGTGCACTAAAAGAATAAAATGGAAAGCAAATAGAATAATAAGAATTAAGACTGAAATCCTAGTAATAGGAGTTAGAGTAACTAAGAGAAAATTATAATTTATAAAAAAATCAATTGAATTCTTTGAATCAATAAATTGCATAATATGAAATAGATAAGGATAAGTTGAGCAAAGAGATCAAGTAATTATAGAGTCAGAATTAAAATTATCTGAGTCAAGTTTAAAAGTATTAGGATTATATAAATTAATAATAATAAGAACTTGAGAAGAATACGATTTCAAACAGAAGCATAGTGATTAATGATGCTTAAGGGTAATAATTAGAAGCAGAATTAAAGATCTTATAAGTTAAAGTATGTATTCTATTAATTAAATAGTTGGTGCAACAGTTAAATAATTATAAATAGTTGATCTAAGATAAAAAGAATTAAGAGATAAAGGCCAAGATCAATGAGGATTTAGATTAGATAAAGAAAGATTACGTTATGGCTTTAGAGAAGATAGGAATATTCATAAGGGGCATAGAAGATTTAGAAAAAGTAAATGGACCAAAAAATTAGTAATATCATGTTTTTAATTTCTAGAAACGAATTAAATAAATCAATAGCAGGACTTAAAGATTTTATTTCAAAGTTTGCAAGCACCATTTTGAAAGATATTAAATGAGTCATTGTGTATTTTCAATTTAATAATGTTCTTTTTTAAACATTAATTTATTTGAATGATTCTTTAAAAGTAACTCATAATTTAAGTAAGTTTAGTACTTTTCTATTCAAAAAGGGAATTAATCGATATAATTATGAGTGGGTATTTATTTTTTAGGTAATTATGAGAAGGAGAATAAGGATGCTTTTTAGAAGTGGTTATTTCTAGGTATAAAAAGAAATATGCATCTAAAAGGATTTCATTAAATTTATTTCCAGAAAGCTTTTCTAGTCACTCAAAAATTTGCAAAGTGCTCGACAATGGAATCTGTATTAATTCTGCATATTTGATCCCTTTATAAATACATTCGCAATAATTAATTGTTATTTGAGGCAATTCTATTTTACTGTCTTCGTCAAATTAGCTTTGGATTAACTACTTAAAATAATAGAGATCTAAAATTAGTTTATTTTTATTTGAGTAAATTAGTGAAGTTACCTTAATGGGCAAATACTCTATGTTGAAGTTCAGGGTCAAAGGCTCCTGAAACCATTTAAGGAATATCGCTATAACCACATTCTGGATTATTGGAATTTAGGTGTGTTGTTATATCATTTGTAAAATCTAGAACTTCCTTTTAAGGTCAAGACACCCTATTAGATGTATTAGGCCATTCTGAATAGTAAAGTTGAGTTCCTCTAATGCATTAAAATTGATATTTTAATCATTCTTAGGCCTGAGAAATCATTAATTAAATAATTATTGAATATAAATAAATCTATAGAAAGTAATCAAAATAAAGGTGAGAACTTTTTAATACATACTAGAAGAATGGGAGATGGGTTCTCCATTGTACTTAAATAATTTATATATTTAAAACTATTAGGCTCCATATTATACTTGAATGAATTTAAATCAAAATTTGAAAAAAAATACACAAAAATAGCTATTTGAAGCACAATCATCTTGCAAATTCATAAAGCCTTCTTCCCTACAATTTTGCATATTTTAATTGGCAAATTTACTATAATTAATAAAATAGTAATACTTTCTCTGTATTAGTCCATTTTTAATTATTAAATGTTCTATAAAACTTTAATACTACATCCTGATTGATAAAATTAACAAAAGCATATCCCAAATGGCCTTCATTCTTGAATTATAAAATTTGAAATACATTGTTATCTAAAGGCAAATAGAAAAAATCATAAAGATTACGAAATTCTTTATTTAAAATATTTCTCAAATCGTTTGGCTTCATGCTTCTGGGTATATTTTTGAGCATCAAAGTGGTTCTTTCATCTTTAAGAATCTATGTTTTTTAAAGAAAGGCTTTACATTCTCTTCTACGATCTCTAAAGATGCTTATTGCTATTATAAATATTTTTCATCGTTCAAGAATATAAGTTTGTCTTATATCAATTCTTAACTGAACTGTTCAAAATTTATTAAGCCATCTTCTTCAGGGACTAATAATTTAAACTCTAAAATGGATTATAAACTGAATACCAAAAGCACAAAGAGAAGCTTCAAATTTTTCATCAAAACTCAACAAAGGTCGTGGGATCTTAAGTTAGGAAGCTTCGAAAGATGAGTTGCTAGAACTGTTAGGAGACGCTGTTGTGTTGGTCTATGAAAACCTTCCTTTATTTGGAGTTGTTCTTAGAGTATAATCAACTAAATCACAAATCATTATTTAATAATAAAAACAATGGATCATTGTCTCATTGGTTTTCTAACTTTCTAATAGTAGCTCTTGTTTTAATTTATCTCTCAAAATTTGTTAAGCAATTAAGACAGTTCCACTTCCCTTACGGAACCTCCTTTAAATTAATACACTTTGGATGGAATACTTTTGGACAAGTATCACAACAAATAACCTTTCCTCCTTTGTTACATTTCTTGCATCTGTCTTCCCATTTCGTTTCTGTCTCAGCGTACTAAGGTTTAACTTAGTTTCTTTTCCTCAAATTTTGAGTAACATACATTTATGCCTCCTAAACAAATTAAGGGGGAGGTTCGACTACCTTTTTAGCAACAACAACTACTTCTTCTACCTTTTTCTTTTCTCCAACAGGCAAAATTTATTATTGTATTTAAATCTTTTTTCTGTCAATGTAATCCTTAACTATTTAACCCAATACTTCTAAACAAATCTTCATTTTTGCTAAATTGCAATCATATTTCAGTTGCTCAATTAAATTCTATCTTAAAGTTTCATAATAAGTGCCAAATAATTTCATAGGTAATTTCCTTACTCTTACTTTCCCAATATCCATTTATTCTAATTATTGTAACATAGTTTAAGGTTATTCATCAACAGAGGAATCATCTTCAACAACCTTTCTTCTTCTATTCGGTTATTAATAAGAATCGTCATCATTTTCATTTAATTATCTCTCATCCATATCCTCATCTAATCTGAGTTCTAACTTCTCTTGCATCATCGTATTATCTACAAAATATTCAATTGCTTTCCCTAAAGGTTTTAGATCTATTTCGTCATATTCTTGGGAACTCTTCTTTTCAATTACATTCTGAAAACTCTTTAAAAATTCAACTCTTTATTCAGTGCTGCACCATCGTGAATTCTTCTCATTTAAATATAGTGTTAAACTTTATTCTATTTCAACGAATTCATTCACAAGTTTATCAACATCTAAATTGATTAAACTATTTAATCTCTCTATTTATTCATCACTTTAATTGTGACCTTCCTATTCAATATCATTCTCTACACCCTTCCCATTTTTATGATTCTCTTGTTCGATTTAATCATTCTATTCCTAATTTTACTCATTTATTTATAGTAATTTAGCCCTTTATAATTCAATTATGTTATTTTTTAAAGTGTTCTCTCGAACACCTTTTGGACATAAAGAATTGAGTAGATTTTAAATTTCAGTCTAATCATAAAATCCCCATTGTTATGATCGATCGTCATCAAGGATTGAATGTCTCATACATACAAAGATCTTATCAGGCTCATATAAAAAGAAGTAATAAGAACTATGTTTAGCATCCTGACCTAAGCACATGGATGGATTTAACAATAAAGCTGGCATTTAAGTAATTGCCAATTCCTAATAAGAATTTATTAATATGATTACCTTATCTTATTAATTATACCTTTCTGTTAGAGAGGCTATTTCTTTTTCTAATTTTGAATATTGTTACTTTAACTTTTGGGCTTGTTTTTGAGCTTATTCCATTTACTTTGTGAATTTCTGTGATTCAACTCTTGTTAAGCCATCCTGTTTCAATTGAGACTAAAATATGATGTGGAACTATACTTTTGCAATTGAAATATTGCCTTCAGCTTCAATTATCTCTTTTTTAATGTCAATTTGTTGACTTCTCTATTATTTAATTTGGGTGCCTAATTATTGTTTGATTCTATTATTGGATAGGAGATTTTCAGTTCTGAATTAGTACAAAAACTGAGTCTTCTTTAGACCAGTCAATCCATCTGAAAGGGCTATAAGTAATTTACACACTTTCTTGGTGTCTGTGTAATCACAAAAATCTATCATTTCTTATTACAAAGGTAGAATTCCTTGTTTGTAGATATTGGTTGGCAATGATTTTATGTCATCCCGTAATAATTCATAATATCTGATTCTATTTGTAAACCACATGTATCCAAGGAGATGCCAATATGGGATTTTCTAGAAGTATTGTTATATAGGTTACGTATGATTATTTTTACATCTATTCCTAATCTAAATCTTCAATAATTTGCTTAAGGTAGAAGTAGCAGAAAAAGAGGATCAATTCGTCAGGTTTGGTTTAGATTAAATTATATATCTCCTAACGAGTTTTTTAACTATAGGGCGTGTGGTTATCTTTGAAATGAATCAAGGTGCCGATGTTATTTACTTAACTTTACTCTTTTTATATAATGTATTGTAATACGTTCAGTTTACTGTTCTCCTGCGTAGAGGATGTCACTCACAATTTTATCCATATAATTATAGCTATCCCATATCTTAAGAATATCTTCAAAGAGGTTCTAGGGAATGGTTGGATCAAGTTGGAGTTGTGGCTTCTTTTTAATTTCAATGGTAAACAATTATTGATAAGCTGTCAGATATTCATCAAATATTGGAAAAATGACTCTTCCTTATTGGACATAGGTTGGATATTTTTATTGAAATTCTGTGTGTTTTTTCAATTTGTCTTCTTGTGGTTATAGGGTTTTCTGAAAGAATTCAGGGATTTGACTAGTTTTCTTCTTTTTCTATGGTTCCGAGTCTTTCAATTTTCTCTTGGCCATTCTCTCTATACAAGAGAGACAGTACCATTTAGCACCTTCCTGGAATTATGGCTCTTTGTTTTAAGTTCGTATGCATTCCTTGTGGTATTTGAAGTGACACCTTATACAGATTATAGTTGGAGTGGATTGAGTAGTCACTTTGCATAATCGACATATAGATTTGTCACCAAATTGCTATTTACCATCAATTGGCTTTTTCTAGTCTAGTTTCATAGCCATTTTCTTATCTTTCTTGTCCTTCTTCTTTTTTGGATTGTCTTCTACTTATGATTCCTCAATTATTTCATCCTCAATGTTTACTTCTTCCTCACTAGCCATTAAGTATGTCTATGAATTATTTCAAATAATTTAAAACTGTGAATCCAAAAGAAGTGCTATTAACTTAATTACTAATATATTATAATATGCAAAATTATTTTTATAAACTCTCCTCAAGTGAGAGTGTTTTTTACCTCATTATACTTTCACTTCCTACTCATTTACTGATTTTAAACACACATCATTCCATTAATATTAATATCCAATAAAATAACAGTCCAATTAAACATCTCGTTAAACCATTTCTTTTGAACTCCCCCAATCCGAATAATTTAATCTCCTACTTTTCGACAATCTTAATTAGAATTACATTCACATCCACCTTCAATTCCTCGTATCTCTCTATTCTTTAGGCATATGGTTTAATCTAGGCAATTTTCCAAGAACTTTGTTCAATCCACCTTCACTACAAATACAATAAGAAATATTGATTTCCTGTAATTCAAGAAAATGTTAGAGAAGTCTTAATTTACGATGAATTTCAATACTCAATTAAAAAATGGGAAGAAATAGAAATATATGAAATAGTGCAAGTCTTCAGAAACTAACAGGAATTATTAGTCAAGCTTAAAGAAATCAAAATAATATTTGGATAAGGAATCTGCTATAATAGGGAGCTCTAATTCTCAGCAAAGGCCAAGAAGGCTGAAGAAAAAGGTTTCAAAATAGAATATCCAAATGTCATCATTGTAATCCAAATTGTCTCTCAAATAAGAATTACTCAAACATATTAATCATAAGCAAGTCGAAAAGCGAAAGGTTGATATCACTAATCCAGAGGACTTGAGTACTATGCAATAATAATTGTTATCGCAATAAATACAATAGTAACTATCTCTGGAAGACACATAATTAAGCCTTATGATGTAATAGCAACATGAAATCACTATGTAATTTATGCCAGATATTGTGAGGATTGTCAACCATTATATGAACAGTTAAAATAATAATAACAAATTGAAAATATTGAGCTAAAAATAAAAGAAAGAGTAAGACAGAATTAAAAGTGAAATAAAGGAGATGAGAGATAAAGAGTCTTCGACAGTCATAAACTTGGAATTAAAATACTATTAGATTCTAATTATAAATGAAGAATAAATGTAGTATTTCTAATGTTATAAGAAGATTTGATTGAATAGAAAATTCAAGAAATGATCAAGTTGAACAATGTGATTGAATCCTGACAACAAACAAATGATATCATATCAAATTTCATTCCTGAATTGAATAAATTAAAATAAATGAGATTTGTTCGAAAGTAAAATATTATTATTCAAAGAACTCATGCTAGATCAATTAATCTAAAAATAGTGCTGAATGGAGTATATAAATTATAATTGACAAAGAAATAATGATTTAGATATTTCTAAATTCATTATAATTTTCATGAGTTAGAAACTTCAAATTCAAAGAACGAAAAAAATCATGAATATAAAATTATTCACACTCTAAAAAAAATTAGACTATAAAGAGGTTTTTTAATCAAAAATAATCAAATAAATAAAGTATAAATTTATTTTTTTTTGGTGGTTCTGAGAGTGATAAGGAAGTGCTAAATCAAGATGGACATGCTTCATATTTATGATCGGTATTAGGATAGTAACAAAGGGAAATTGAATAGATTGAAGTCAAATGGAAGAAGATATTCTTAAAAAAAAGGAAGAATAAGATGAAGATGATCATGATTTGATGATTAATCGAAGAAGGAGGAACAAAATGATTGGGTTCTTAGAGGCGTCTCAAACAAATAAAGAATTATTAGAATCTTTAAATACATTTAATATTTATCTAAAGACTAATCTTGAATATTAATTATTTAGTAAACTTAAGAAGTTGTGTATTTATTGATAATTTTATATTAATGAAATCTGCAAATTCAAATTTGCCCAATTCTATTCAACCTGATTAAAATGAAATCAATGAATACATTAAAGAGTATCTTAGATATTCATCTTTTACAAACACTCTTGAATGTTTTGAAGCAGAAATAAAGAGCAAATAAGTTTCCAATAAAGTACTCATTTCAATAATTCTTACTTTTAGATGCTGAATAAATAATAATAATCTAAATAAATAGGAGATGAAGCCCCAAGACTATTTCAGTTATTTAAGAGTGACAATACAAAAACTAAAAGAGAAATCAATTTAGAAAAGGAGTAAAAAGCCTTTAATAAAAAATATTAATAAATCCTGCAGGCTGGGAGACAAATCTTCTCTGTGAGTATCAATCTACTCTAATTATTGCATTCTCTCAAAGAAACAGCCAAGAATGAGAACTTGAGTGAAACCTTAGAAAATTATAAAATTTAATTGGGGAAGTATCATAAAGTGATCATCAATGAAGGTAAGCCAGAAGGAACAGAATTGATTACTGAATAAGTTATGCATGAACACAAGACGAAACTATTTAAAAACTTTCAAGATAAACATGTGGATGGAATGATTGAGGTTTTGCTGTCTCTAAGAGTCAATGCACTGCAGATAGCACCTGAATTGAGAAAGAACCTAGTTTATGAGTTAATTAGAAATGATGTATTCAATATTGAAGCAACAGAGAAATTTGATTTTGTTGTTCATTTATTGGATATCAATAATTAGAGTCTGAGACACGCCATTACTAGTTTGATTAGTGTCATCAGCAGTACTTTGAGAGGAGTGGAATACCTAACATATAATGGGAATATGATCATTATTGAGAAAATCATTAAAATTTTGAAGGAATAAGAAAATGGTTCTGTTACTTAAAGATTTTGTTTGGCAATTCTCTAAAAAGCTAGTATTAAAGATACTGTAATACCAACCTATGTTCATAATGAAATCATCTAATGGATCATATTATTAATTCAAAAATCAATAAATACAAAAATTCATATATTTTGTCTTGATTTTGCATCTGCTACATTAGCAAATGTAATTCACACTCCATACACATTGCAATATCTTGAGAAATAAGGGAAATTTGCTCATTAGGTTATGGAATAACTCTTAAAGTTCATGAAAGAATAGATTTAAGTAAGTGTGTTGATGCATGTTTTAATTTGTCTATCATATTTGAGTAAGGAGAACTTTGCCAAACAAATGGAAGAATGTAGGTTTGTGGAGAGAATCAGCGAATTCGTTGAATATTACAGTGTAATAAATACAGGTACATAATTATAGATATGAATTGAATAGAGAATGAAGCAGCTGAGATAGACAAAAAAACAGTATTGGATTTGTGTGCTCATATGTTTCATCCTAAAGATACATCTCTGGATAATTCAGAGACAGTTGAATTGAATGAATTAAAAACTGAGGATAGAATTAGAGAATATGAAAATGAATAAGGAGAACTGATATTTGAATGTTTTTAGGATGAAGTGAGTTGATTATGAAATTTATTATTCAATCGATTAATTTTAAAATAATTCTTGTCTCCAAATAGTTAAAGAATAAATTTAAAACATCTATTTTAATGAAATAATCCACAATTATATATGAAATTTGATCAAATTTCTCCTTGAATTTCCTATAAATTTTCAAATATCTAAACAATGCAGTCATTTTACATTAAGCAAATCATTTTACATTAGGCAAATCATAAATGAGAGTAGAAAGTATTTTTAATAACTCTAAATACTTCTATAAATGGAAGAAAATCCTGTTCCTATCCAAGAATAGACTAAGGATAAAACTAAGTAAAGAAAAGCTATTGACTGTGAGATTAAAACAAGGTTAATATTCAGTGTAGTTAATGATCGTCTCCCAATTTATTAGGTAATGAAGAATTTCAATGATTTATTATTTTAGGCTGCTATTCTCCATAAAGTTAAATATTCATCAGCAAAACACATTCTTAGAAATTACTTCAATGACTCAGCGAACTTTTTTTCGACATAAAGAAAGAGGAAGAGAAAAATACTCTGCACCAATGTATTTATATTAATAGAAGCATGTTCTGGAAAAATCACAATAAAGAAACAATAATTGAATTCCATGTCTTCTGCTAACAATGGACAGATTTCAGGGTTGTAACAAAAGACTTTAAGTTAACTTTCTTATGCAATATGTCAAGAAGTTTAGCCGCTTCAAAGTATAACTAAATAATTGATTGTTGTTAGAGAAGATCGTTAAAAAAGCAATAAGAAGAATTGGAAAGATTCAACAAGACTTGGATAAGTTATACTCGATCATAAAAAGGTAGCACAACGAAATGACGAATTTAAAGGAACTATATTGAAATTATCAAAATTAATAATTATTTTACATTTGAATTATAATAGGTGATAATACTTATAGGCTGTTGAATTAATTTTAAATTAAATTAAAGCAGATCTTCTCTGCTAGAATGTTTAGAATTTCATGTGTTTAACATCTCAATTTGAATTTAAGATTTGGCTAATTAAAAATATCAAATTTTGGTTTAGTTAAGAATCAATTATCATATTTTAAATTAAAAATAATTTAATCATTAAATTTAAATCAAGAAATTCTCATATTATTTGTTGCTTTCAATTTAGATGAATTAATACTTTCATTCATTAAGAATAAATATCACAACTAATAAACTATATTATATTTCAATTTTATGTAATTTTTTTCATGGTTATGGTAAATTGTCTCTGTCAAACAAGGGACATTTGCAGTCTGGGTGTCTATATTTTCTTCCACATCTATAGCAGAATTCGTAAAAGCATTTGCATTTCATGTGATTACATCCCTATAATCAGATAAGTCTCATACTTTTTCTTTCAAAATCCAGGCTCCACAATTGGTACATTATTTGCAATTCATATTTTCGACTAACTTCTTGAATTCTCTTTCATTGTTCTATTATTAATATAGTTTAATTGATTTTTACTTCTTTGTTTTTGGTTAATTAGAATTATTCACAAGTGAATTATGGATGTGATTCAGATTTGCATCTCAGACAATATTTTTTAGTGCAAAATTCGCAGTAAAAGGCTGGATCTCCACTTTGATTGATGATGAAAATATTTTAACATCCAAGTGTTGGACAACACGAGAATTTATTTTAATGTTTGATTACTAATTCATCCAATTATGCACTAAAATAGATGTTGATTTATTGAAAATTGAATCCTAATTTAGGTAGGAGTGAGGCAGATAGTTTTTCTTCTATTTATTATTTAAATCAACAATATTACTGCAGCCTTATGATGGACATGTCAGTTATTGATATCTTTCTTTCAAGCAGTTTTCAATTAGTTTAGAGATGCAGTTTTTGTGGAAGGTGTCTCCACAGTTTGTTCTGAATATTTCATCTTCATTTGTTGTCAAATCATCAAAACAAATTTAGCATTGCATTTTAACAGAGTAGAATCTTTTGATTGGCAATCCTGTTTTATCACGAATGTTTTTCTGATTCAAGGAAACTTCTTCGATTTGATTCATGTTGTAATTCATTTATTTAATTATAAATAATGTCTTGATTAATAGAAATTAGAAATAATTAAAGGTAATTAATACAAATTATTTTAATGAAACAAATATATATATAAATAGTAAGAATCAAGTATTTAATAAATTATTAAATAACAAGTAAAGCAACAAAAAGATGTTTCTAGACCTTGTATTTAATTTTTGCTGCTCGAAACGGCAGAGAGATGAAAAGGATACAAAATCACAAAATAGCAATAAAAGTTAGGAGGAACAATTTTTAGAGCAAAGAAGGATTGAGTTAGACATTGGGAAGACTGCGATGAATGAACTAATAAGTAGCACAAATTTATTGAAATTTTTTAAGAATCAAAGCCCGCATCATCAATCGGATCACCAACAGATAACTATCTATAATTAAATGACGAAAAATAATAATAAAAAAAGAGTAGTTTCGAAGAAGACAACGTTTAGGAGAATTAGTTCGATATAGAGGATGGCAATAAAGGGAATCATTATCAAATGAAAGATCATTCAGGCATGCGGTAAGAGGAAATTAATATCATCTTTATAATAGTTCCAAATCTCAGGAGAAGGTAGAGAAGGGTTTGAAGAAGAAGATAAGTAAAGCAAAGGAGAAACAAGATGGAGACAAGAGAGTTGTGAAAATTTGGTAACCTGAAGAGGATCAACGTCTCAGAAAGTTGTATCAAGAGTATTAGGGAAATTGGAGTAAAATAATTCAGTTTATGCCTGAACGAAACATTTCATAATGTTCTCAGCGATGGAGAAGGATAAATCCTATTTAAGTTAATATGAAAATCATAATGTTTAGAATAAATAAAAATGGAATTAAGAGGAAGATGCAAAATTAGTACAATTGGTTGCTCAAGAGGGAAAGAATTGGACCAAATTGGCCAGACACTTTTAAGGAAGGTCTGGCAAATAAATCAGAGAAAGATATCTTAATAAATTGGATCCTGCACTTAATTTTGTACCTTGGACAGAATAAGAGGATTAGGAGATTGTCAAATATTATAATTAATATGGTGCCAAATGGAGTGTTGTTGCTTCCCATTTGAAGGGACGATCTGTAAATTTATGTATTGATTTAGGAAAATATGGTGAAAAATAGATTTTACTCTCACATTTAAAAACATTTGTTGGGTCGACAAAATAAATATCAAATTATTTTTAATTCTGGTCACAATCAACAGAATGGAAATTAATAGCAATAAGAAGGAAATCAAAATATGGATGTTGAATATTCTGATACTTCAAATAGTGAATAAAAGTTAGTGCATTCTGAAAATTATTCAGTAAACATTTATTAAATTATTATATAGTCTTCAATAGGATCGAGTACATTTACTTTCTCCTATTATGAAGATGAAGATTTTAGCGGAAATGGTTAAGATTTATTGTATGATAATTAATTTGAATAAGACTTCGATGAAAAAGCCAGAGTGTATTGAATATGTAATTTTTATAGAATAAATAAGTATCAATTTCTTAAAATTCTTATGTATAAATTAAAGTTGTTATTAACATGTGCATTTATCAAGCAAGCTAATTTGTGTGATTAAATATCAATACAATCATATTTTATGATACTATAAGAGTTCTCAAACAATATCATATTTTGGTAGTCTCTAATTTTTAATTTAGGATTAACTATAGGTGTTTAGTTTTATGAATTAGCAGATAATAGATAGAAATTCAAATGAATTAGTAAGTCTTTTTTTTAATATATAAATATAATTTACAGTTTAAAATGTTTGAAATACTAGTTTTATTAATGATATTAATTTAATTTATTCGTTAATGGGAGCTGATCACAGTGATACAAATGAAATGAAGACATAATAATAGTACCAAATGTTTTTACTGCAATATTCGAAGGAAAGAGAATATGATCACAACCAATTTGGGTAGGTGAAGTTGTACAATCACAATCAAGTAATTAAGCTGTTATAATATTAGAATAATTCTATGATTTGCATAAAGAAGTTGTAAAGTAAGAGTGATACTGAATTAACACAGATAACAAACCATTTGAGGAAGAGGAAAATCTTTGTGCATCCAAATTTGGTTTAATTACTGGCAGTTCGCACTTGTAATGAATAATCGATTTGTTCTGATTCCAGTTTGGTGATGGTTGTTTCAGAGTATTTTCCAGACACACTAGAAAGTGAATTGAAAAAGAGAAAGCAACCACTTAAGAAATACCCTGAATCTCATATTTGGCTATTGATTTAATAAATTGTAGATCCAATGGCATTTTTGGAAGAATAGAAGTAAGCTCATGGAGATATCCAACCATAAAACATCTATTTGGATGAGAATGGAAGTGTAAAGTTGGCAGAATATAACTATTTTCCTGGAGGTTAGCATGGGTTTCAGAAGATGCTGCTAAGCAAGGATAGAGCTTATCTCTCTCCAATATTATTAAACAATTATAGAAATATGAACTTTAAAGCTCAACATAATGAATACAAAAGTGATGTATTTTCATTTGGAATGACGATGTTGGAAGTTCTACTCTTAGAAGAATCTTATGATTGCATGGATTTTTAGAATGGTTGCATATCACAAAATGTTGTCGATTAAAAATTACAAAAAGTAAAGAGATCAGGATACTCACAATTATTAACAAACTTTGTGAGAGAATTGTTGTAAATTGAAGAGAATGCAAGACCAAGTTGGAATGATTTAAAACAGGTGATTGATTAATTTAGAGATAAAATTTGCAACTTGATTCCCTTCTTTCAAGAAAAACGACAAATGTCTCCAAACAAACTTGTTTATTCATAAAGTTATGTACCTCAATAACAAATACTCAGTTCACCTCAATCAAAAATACTAAGTTCTCCAAGATAACCATAAGTGTTATATCAGACATATCATCAACCATAACCATTATATTAGACTAAACAGATGCAACCAATACCAATGCAATAATCAATCTATTATGAATCAGGCTAGAAACAAGTGCCAATTAAGAAGATAACAAAATTGGATGAAACAGTATCAAAATAAGTGCAATAACCAGAAAGCAATTTGGAAAAGACTACTATCAAATAAGCTGAAACTAAATGATATTTTTATATATTTATTTACCTATTATAACATTAATATCAAATAAGTAGATTAAAAGAGAACACACAATCCTAGAAGAGATCATATAATTGATTTATTATCATTATAATAATAATGCACCAATTAACCCAACATCTTCTACTTGAGGTTCCACAATGTAGTTTTCTGGTATTTCCACATACTTGTTCACTAGCCTTCTTAGATGTTTATCAATGATGGGATACAAGAGCTTCCTGTTCATGACTCCTCCTCCCAACACTATCTTTTCGATTGACAATAGATATAGGATGTTTTGACATGCTTCTGCCAAGTAAAAACCAACCAATTCCCATATTGGATGATCATCACTGATATTAGGTAATTCAGTAATAGGACAATTCAATCTCTTGGCTATTGCAACATTTGTACATAATCCCTAATGAAATCACTAATATAATAGCACTTCTAAGCAATCTCCGTGAAATGCACAAACTCCCTTGAAGTCTTTGTCCTCTTACTACTTAGCAACTAAAATATGCCCTCCTTCTGGATGCAACATTCCGTGAACACATTGTCCATTCACTATGATACCTACTCCGACTCCAGTTCCAATTGTGATGTACGCAAGAGATTGTCTCACATTATGGTTGCCCAACATAAATTCAGCCATGGCACAGGCATTAACATCAGTGTCTATAGCAAACGGTTTCTTTAATGCTTGTGACAATCTTGTTGCAATTGGGAAGTTCTACCATTTGAGTTTAGGAGTGGAGGTTATGGATCCGAATTGTGGATCATCTTTGTTCAAACACAGAGGGCCAAAGGAAGCTATTTGGATTGAATCAAATTCGAATTGCTGCAAATATGTCACAAGATCAAGGAGAGTATCTTCTGGATCTCTAGTGTCAAATGTCTTTTTATTGTTTAATGTCCATTTGTTGTCTGTTTTGGTGCCGATGCCAACTTGAATGAAGGTGCCTCCTATTTCTAAAGCTGCTTTTGATTATTACATTTAAATTAATATGAATTATAACCATCACTAAATCGTGGAGATATGGTTGAGGAGATTCCGTGAATGCTTGAACTTCTGCTATGGAAGTGATTCATAGATGATTACCATGGAATTACACAAAGGAAGTGTTTAATTATTGAGTGTACCTTAAAACAAAAACATTTTCAACACTAGGAAATATAGAGTATTGTTAATGATAATGTTAGTTATATAACTTTTTACCCAAAACCCTATTCGCTGCATTGGAAAGATTCGGAAACATCTATCTTTTAGGGATTTCCTTAATAATGTTGATAGATCCAACATTGTCTCCCTTTTATAGATGGATCACCATCTTCCCTGTCGGATTGAGTGTGATATTTTATGTCTTTATGGAATTCATACTCGACATACGCAGATAGACTCATGATCATAAGATAAATATGCAAACAACATCCAGAGGTGCGAAAGATGGTGCATTAGAAACCATAAAATGGAGTGATATTCAAATTGGAGATGTGCTCTATCTGATTAAAGGAGACATTGTGCCTGCAGATATCATACTATTGGACACAGGATAAGTAAGAGACAGAGAGGCAATTTGTATGGTTGACACACAATATTATGATGGTAAATCTTCTCTGGCCAAGAAGAAATCCTCCTATTTGACTCAATTGATAGTCTTGAGAACAAGATTGAAGAATTAGTTTCCAGAATACAGAAAAATGTTGACTGGAAAATTGGAATACGAAGCACCCAATGGAAACACCGAAAGATTTCATGGTAGATTAAAATTGAAGAAGGATCCCAAAAATGAAGAATTGACCATTGACAATTTCATCCCCAAAGGCACGAAGATTAAATAGACTTCCTGGTTATTCGGTTTAGTTGTCTACGTTGGTGAAAACACTAAAACTATGCAAAGTAGTCATTACAATGCACAGAGACGCAGTTTTGAAGAAAAGCAGTGCAATTTCTATTCATTCCTCATGGCTTGCTTATCCCTCTTCTTCACTTTGATTTCTATCATTGTTCTATTGGCCAGATCAGATGAAGGTTACTACGCCTTATTGATTGATAACAACACCACCAATGGAATGAAGGTCTTCTAATTGGCAATTCTGTATGCCTAATTAATTCCATCCACTCTTTATCTACTATTAGATTTCGTAAACTTCGTTTCTTTATTTAAATATGAAATCAATTAAATTGAAGATAATATTACTAAGTATGTTAAAATCAATACTGCTAACAACCTGAGTGATTTAGGCCATGTTGATTATATGCTGATAGACAAAACAGGGACTTTGACTACTTCTTATTACAAATTGGATAATCTTTTATTTGGTTCCCTGTCATTTACTTTGAATTATGATCAATTACAAACAACTTTGAATTAAAAATCTGTCAAACCTGAAGATAATGAGGATCCAGTTAAATTTGCTAGCATCCATGATGGCAATGAATATTTGATCCCATTTGAATATGAGAAGAACACCAGTCATGCAGATGTCAAACCCAAGTGGTAAATTGTTGCTGAAAAGTGTAAAAACATCCAATAACAATCCTGTTTTTAGTTAGATTACAGCCTAGCCTTAGAATAAGAGGATGACAATGTTAGAGAACTCAGTCTAACAACCTTTGCAATATTATATGTAGACAAGAATATTTTTACCATAACCTAAAACTAGAAATAGCCCTGGAAATAATAATGATGAGTTCATTTAGTTAGTCAACCAATTAAAAAGTAGTTCACCTCAAAAAGAGTACCAATAAACTGAAGATATAAACACATTGTATTATGATGCATTTCTGAAATGCTTAATGTTATGCCATGAAGCTAGACCAGTATTTGGGGCTGATTCGATTACCTACGAATCCTTCTCAAAAAGTGAGGAAATAGCATTGACATTTGCTCGTTCTTGTGGTTACTCTCTTGAAAATTTCAATAAATTTGATAGTCCTGATATGTACTTATGTAAAGTAAGAGGAAATCCTATATGGTATCAAGTATTAGGATTGAATTTGTTTACATACACTAGAAATCTGAATTCTGTTGTTATTTAGGCTCCTATGACGATGGATCTAGATTTAAAATAAAAGTTTGAAGCAATCAATTAACTATGTGGGGAAGGATCGAAAAACAATTCATTATTAATTTGTAAAGGAGATTATGAAGCAATAAAAGCTAAATTGTAATTAAATCATAAGGAAAGGGAAGAACTAGACTCCTACATCCAGCATTACAAATAGAGAGGAATCAGAATGATTATCTATGCTACTAGAGTATTGAGTGAGAAGGAGACTGAAAATTACAAATAGCAATTTAATCTGTTGCATAGTTCATTAACAAATTAGGATACTCTTCTTGAAAAGTTGGCCTTAGAATATGAGAAGGAGTTGAATATTTTGGGAATGACAGGATTCAAAGAAGAATTGAAAAATGATGCTTTAGATTTCATTAGAACTGTTAAAGATTGTAATATTGATATATGGTTATTGAGTGGGGATTAGGAAGTACAAACAATCAGTTGTGCATAATCTCTAGAGATGGCTGCGACTTCTAAATATCTGAGGATTGTGGCCACTGATAAGGAATAGATATGGTTACAAATTAATACAGCTATCGGACAGATCTAAAGTGAAATGTAGAAGATACAAGAGAAATAATAAGAAAAGCATTAGAATGAGAACATGCTGAGTAGAAGTATGATTAAATCATGTGTGACATTTTTTGAAGGAGCATAATATTAATAGGTGTTACAATTTGCTTTGGTAGTTAATGGTCATTCCCTTTCTTTGATTAGTGAATCACCTGATCTAATGAGTCATTTCAGGTTCTTATCTTGTGTTTGTAAGAATGTGATTGGATTCAACATGAATCCATAATAAAAGGAATTAGCATGTACTATAATTCGTAATTACTTTCCAAATAATCCTACTGTTCTTGGAGTTGGCGATGGATATAATGATGCATTGATGATGCAAGCAGCGAATGTCAGTATTGAAATCATTAACAGCAAAAGAAATCATATTTATCCTCAAGTGAATGCAGGTGACATCAGTGTTAATACACTGTCTGAAATCAAAGTGTTGTTATTATAGAAATGCAAATTACATAGTGAAAGAGTGTCATCCATGATCATCTATCTGTTTTATTGTGCTGGTTTCTTGGGAATGACTCTATTCTTCTTTAATTGGTTCTGCCAATTCACAGCCACGTCTTTGCATGATTCAATGACGGTGTTTTTATACATTTTTATGTACACCACTCCAAATGCTTTGGTGATAGGTTTGGCCGATAAGTAAACTTAACCTTTAGTGAATACTCGATTTCCTGCATTTTATATAGATGGGCAAATAAGAACTCGTAGATTCTGGCTTTATTATCTGCTTGAAGGATTTTTGGAGTCCTTCATTTGTGCAGCTTACACATTCTATTCTTGCATTTACATGGTTAATTATGCATGGACGAATGATAGTCACTAATCAGATTTATAAATGGTAGCTACATCAATTATCTATTTGCTCATCACTGTGTCTACTCTAAAAGTAATGTTTAGACTCATCTGCAATAGTGTAAGTGTCGTGATCATAGCCTTTCTATTCACTTTTGGATTATTGGTAGGATTTGTTTTCCTAAATTACAGAGGAGACTTTAGCAATTTTGATTATCAAGAATTGACATATCAATTGTTTACAAGATTTAATAGCATCGTTGCCATGGTATTTAGTCTAATTGGGTGTTACTTTATCAATTACTTTTTACATGATGTTATAAAATTGATATACTTTCCAAGTGCCTATTAGTAATTTGCATTTCAGAATAAAAGTGGTATAGAATAAGAAGTGATTACAAACAAAGAGATCTTGTATCAATGTCTAGATTAGCATGTGTAATTATTAATTATTAAATAATAGTAATGTTTCATCCATAATTCAGAAGGTGTTCATTGATTGTTCAGCAACTTCACCTTACATATAAGAGATTTTGAATCCGGGTGATACCAAAGTAACAGAAATGAAATTGAAGCCTCTAACTCTTGAGATGAAGGAGTTAGTTCTGGAATAAAAGTTTTTGGCTCACAAATAAGCTCAATCCCTAAAGCATTTGCGAGTATTCTTGTGCATTCTGTTATTATACTACATTGCATATTGTTTAACAGACTTACTTTTTGACAGATCAAAGAGTGTTCACAGGAGCGTATTACTTAGTTGTATTTGGTATCATCCTTATTATAATCCTCTTTTCTTTTAGTAATGCAATGGAATAATCATCATTATACATACTCACATATAATAGTGCTGATCATATTTGCAATCAAAGTAGCAATAGATTGGTTATCAGATGATTTGACTATAACACTCTCAGCTACTTTAGTGATTTTATTTAGTACATTTAATTCGATGAATATGAGTGTGATTCCAATAATGTTGTACAACATCTGTTATTTGATTCAACTCATCGTAAGAATCTTGATAGTAGTGATTTCAACTGATCTCAGCACTTCTAATGGAACTTATTCTCAAAGTAGAGTGTCTGTGTATGCAGCCAGCACTCAGATTCTACTGGTTGTGAGTATAACGATTAGATTTTTATTCAGTTACTACAAGTCTATCAAACATAGAAGAAATGATTATTTAGCAAAATATTCAATCGAATAAGATAATGTGGCTGCCCAAGACATATTGAGCATACTGGTGCCTAGATTTGTGAGATAACAAATTTAGACAGGAATATTTGCAATGTAATAAGCTTAGGATGATGTTTCAATATTGTTCGCTTACATTTGTGATTTTGACACAATTATGAAGGAAGAAGGCAAAAATGTAGTATTGATGTTGGACTCATTGTTTAGACTATATGATAATTTGTGTATTCAACATGGAGTGCAGAAGATTGAAACCGTTGGATACACATACATGGCTGCCACAGGAATTAAGGCATGTGAATAAAACATGACAGCTCATGTGACCAGGATAGAGAAGACTATGAGATTAGTTAATATGGCATTTGATATGATGTAATAAGTGCAAGGGAGAAAGTATGGAAAGGGTAATCAAATTGAGATGAAAATTGGAATACCATGTAGGTCGTGTGCATTGCAAGGTGTGATAGGTCATCATAAACCACAATTTTCTTTGATAGGACGAATCCATGTCAATTAGACGAGTCGAGTGGGGTCTACTGGAGACACAGGAGCCATAACATTGAGTGAACAGGCTTTTAAATAGGCAAGACATGGGATCAAGTACTATTAGAAGAAATAGAAGGAAGCCAAAGGGTTAGGAATCATAGACACTTATTAAGTGTTCAAGACTAAACCAATTGGTTATTAAATACCAAAGGCATTTCAATTATGGTAGAACTGCACTAAGCTTGTTGTAAAAGAGTTAAGGTAACAGGGAAGTTCTAAAACAAAAAAATAAAGATAGTTCCTATCATAATTACACAACTCAATATATCAGGATAACTTGAAATAGTAGAGCAGACTAGAAATATCTCCTAAAGGGCCATACCCTGTTCAAGGGCAATAAGGGTCCGTTCATGAAGATAATAGATCAAGATTAACATTACCAGCATAACCTGCTGAATAAGTGCCAACTGAAGATTCAGTATTGATAACAAATGAATAAGACGAGAGAGAGTTGGACTTGGAATTGATTAAACCAAATCTTATTCTTGACATACCAGAGAATGAAATAAAATCCAATTTCAATCAAATTGTTAAGGAACAAAATGTAGATGAATCTAGAGTGGGTATGATATTTTTGTGGATCACTTATTTCGTTATTACTCTGTTATCAATAATCGTTCGTAAATTGTTTGATCATGATTTGTTGATCTTCGTATTGAGAGTATTAGATTCAATATTTATAAATAGGCTATTTTCCTGATTGTGTCATTAGTTCTATTTCCAATCCTATCCAAGGCTTATAGAAATAGAGTAGTTAACACCATGTACTACATCTTGCTTATATATGCTATCTTCACTGTGCTTTTCTAGGCTTATTTAACTGACAATAGAGAAGTAGCCATCATTTGTCTACTAGAAATACTGTACATTATGATAGTGTCTTGCTAGATGAAGATGTTTTCATTTCTGTAAGTAATACTGTATATGATGATCATGTTTGGATTGTTCTTAGGGTTCTACATCTCTTCAGACTTAATCACTCATTATGCAATCTTCTATATTTGTTGTTGCATGCTGATCCTATTATTGGGATATTATCTGGCAATGAGTGAACAAATCCAAATGTTCAACAATTTGTAGATCAATGAAGAAAAGAAGGTCAAACGAATTAATCTTGTCAGTTAACTATTACCTATGCACTCCTACCTTAAAATGAAGAATAGTAACATCTACGATAAGAGTGACTTTATAGATGAGTTTGATGATGTGACTCTCCTTTTTGCTGACATTAAAGGATTCACTGAGTACTCTCATACTCAGACTCCAGAAGGTGTAGTAGTAATGTTGAGAAATCTCTTCACTGAATTCGATAAACTTTGTCAAAGATACAATGTCTACAAAATGTACACTATTGGTGATTGTTATGTTGTCATGGGATTCACTAATAGTGCCAAACGAAATGTATTCTCTCATATTCATTATTTAGCCTATTTAAGAAGCCATTAACACTGTCAAAATGGGATTTCAGATGGTCGATATCATCATGTCAGTTAGATAGAAAATCAAATTTGATAAATTAAATATGAGAATTGGTATCCACACTGGCTAGGTAACTGGAGGTATCATAGGAACTGATATTGTACGATATGATATCTATGGAAAAGATGTCTCCGTTGCCAATAAAATGGAAAGCAGTGGAGTTGAGGGAAGAGTTCAAGTCTCTGAGACCACTAAGTTAATGATAGAAAGAGCTGAAAAACATGCTTTCAACTTCAAATTCCACCATGTAAATTAAGTTCATCTATTCTAGGATGTTGAGTTGAACAAATTCAATATGAATATCAAGGGATTCCTTGTAGATTGGGATAAAACAAGAGAAGAGGCTAGTCTAGATCCATATAGATCACCAAGTCACCATATATGATACACATTTTAAACTTAATATTTAAATTATTATGCATAATAAAATCTCTACAACATCATTTCTCAAATTCAATCAGCCTTCTTTGTACTTTCAGTTGTGTGCTTTTCACCCTTTCCTTTTGTTGATACTTTAGCTGATGCCTTTCTTGCAAGCAATTGTTTTCTGTCCTCATTTAAGTATGGTTTAGTGATAATGCATTAAGATGCTCTGATTGGTATTTGATATGGCATTCCTATTGTTATTATGATTAACTCTACCATTGGCTTTAGTTCTTGTCAATTTCTCAATCTGAATTGTCCATCTCTTCCTGTAAACTGATGAAACCTTTCCTTTGGTTCCCTTGTGAGTGCCTTGCCTTACTATTTATTAATACCTCTGACCACTGTCACTTCATCATCCTTTCTGACTGGTAATGCTCTGACATTATATTTTTTTCTTAGATCTTTAGACAAATGAGCACTCATCAATTTATATCTGAGATTAGATGGAGCACCAAGCTAAGCTCTTCTGCCCTTTCTTCTTTGACTTGACACTTCTGTATGGGTTTTCATTTGAAAAAGATTTAATTAAAAATTAATTTATTGCTTTCTAATATAAATTATTTAACATCTCTTTAACACACTCTTATATCACATAATCAATTTAGCATTATCTTCATCTTCTTCGTCCTATTCAATTAAGTTTTACACTCTTCTCCATATGAATATTCCTAATATAGTAATTATCATTAGACTTAATCCAAACACTTACTCTCGAATAAAAAATTGCAGTCCAACCAACACTGCTAAACTCAAGCCTTAACTCAGTTGGATTGGCATGAAATCATCAACGTACTGATTTATTAAGTGATTTATACATAATTATAGCTACTGGTGAATGAGAATAAACCCACCCCATTACTAAATATTGTCAAGATGCAAGAGATCAAAATGAAATAATAGGATTAAATTTAAATGCTTATCACCAATGCCAAGTTGATAATAATGCTCATGAACAAGCTTAATCTGTACAGTAACAATTATGGAACCTTGTAAAATAATCTACAAGGCAAGTAGTTTGCCAAAACCATTGTCAATCCAAAAATGAAGTAATGAAAAGGCATAGATTAATAGATAACACCATTGGAATCAACATTCAAACGATTAATAAAGAACACCAACATCATGGTGCTGCTTGAATACATGATGATCTAAATGATTTTGAGAGTCTTTTATTCATCTAATTCGTACTCGTCATCTATTGATTAAATTGTAGATTACTATCAACAAGCCGTTTTTCGTGGTACATGTCTATGACTTCTTCTACATTGGCTTTCTTGAACATATTGGCCAAGAAGTACTCAGCCTCATTCGGAGTACAAGTCTTCAGATCATCATAATTAAATGAAAGATGCAAATTGATCAATCTAATTGCCAAAAAGACTGTTGGCAAAGAGATTAACAAATTCCACAGAACACAATCATCATAAATCTTCAACTTGTTAAGCATCTCGATTTTGGGATAACTGTAAGCCATGAGTCCTTAAATTGTCCATCCAATTCCAAAAGCCATATATTGATACTGACATAAAAACTGACCTAGGTTTTTTACTAGTTATCATTAATATTGATTCAATTACCATTTAATTATTCTGGAAATTTTTTCTTAATATAAACTTCAATAGGCTTCATCATAGTTTTAAAATAGACATTGCTGTACTTTATGTCCAGATTGATTAAGGCTCCCATAAATACTCTCACTATCAGGGTGCCTTCTCTAAAGGGGAGAAACCATTGCAACACCAGAGCCACGATAAGCATTGTCTCACATTTAATCATTATCTGTCTCAAATTGCCTTTCATCTCAATGCCACTTGCAAGCAAATAACCTCTAAATAATCTTTGGAGAGAGTACATCAGAAATGCAACATTCATCCAATTGAAATCGATTTTGTATTTATGTTTAGTTTGATTGATCTTTAGCCAGGATGGTTCTGCTGCACTTGGGATTGTCATGAAATAACCTAAAAATGCATAGGGAGCAAAGCAATGCCAGGCGAAGTAATGGATTTACTTTTTTACCCTAAATATCTATGTTTCCTCTTTCATTATTTATTATTTTTTGGAAAATATAATTATTAGTAAACAGAGTTGACCAATTATTTCAACTATGAGAAAGAAGGAGTTTAAATTAATTATTATTATTGTTTATATTAAACTAATTCATGCTCCAAAGCCATAAAGAGTTCTGCCTTATCTCTTTAAGGAGTACACAACATCCATTACGGTAACTGTCTTTCTTCTGGCATGCTCTGTATAGGTGATAGCATCTCTAACGACATTTTCTAAGAAGCTCTTCAAGACATTTCTTGAGTCATCATAAAGGAAGGATGAAATTCTCTTAACACCTCCTCTTCTTGCTAATCTTCTGATTGCTGGCTTTGTAATTCCTTCAATGGATGCTTTGTTTGGTTTTCTTGCATGTCTCTTTGCGCTGACCTTGCCAATTCCTTTGCCTGATTTTCCTGCCATTTTTATTGATTTGAATTAATGAAAATAAAAAAAGTAGGTTGTATATTGTAATATTAATCCGAATAATCGATAAATCAACCAATCATAATTTTTGTTTAGAAAAGTTAATTTATATAGGTCTATATTTATATAACAAAATATAATTACTTTCCGTCCAATTCTAATCCATTCATTTTAGCCAAAACTGTCAATGCCACCTCAATAGTGGCATATTTCAGGATACACATATACTTATTACCAGTAGATAGAATTCTATATAATAAAAACAACTCTTAGTACTTCAACACTTTGATTTATCCAAAATCCTGCATATATTATTACATAATATGATTTTGGCAAGAATTTCTTGTAAGATTAGAAACTTAGATTGTGTCACATGGTGGAGCAAGAGTATAAGTGGAATCAGGTTTGATACGGTGAGTTTCTTCTCCTCCCTAAAAGTATTCTTCTTGAGTTTTGAGATCGGAAGCTATTTCACCAGGTTTTGATGGTTATGTTTTTAAGGATATTTCCTCATAATTTGAAAAAAAGATCTATTTAGTAAGTGGTAGAATACTTTGATTTATTATCCATAAAACATGATATCATTCAAAGCGTCTTTGGCTATGGCTGCATGATCCTATAACACATACTGAATGAGACAACTTGATCTCTCCTTCAGATATATCATTTTATCGATGTTGCCATAGATACTAAATATATTGTAAAGCATAGCGGATGTTACAACTTTCTTGTCGAACCATCTTGCATAGATGACTTTCGATTTGCGAAGAGCTAAACAAAATCAATAAATGAAGAACCTTTAAAAAAGAGAGGATTCACATATTCTTCAATTTTTTCTTATTATTATTGCAAAGTCTGACTTTTCGAAGTGATTTATGGATTTAAACTCTAATTTTTACCTTTGCTAATTAATTAATCAATATTGTCCACACTTCTTGATGATTATTCAATAGTATTTTTCTGAGTTTGTTTTTCAACTTGATGTGCAACTAAGTTGTCACTTTTCTCAGATCTAATCTCCTGATTCCATTTGTTAAAGATCTCTTATTTTTCTTCATTTGACTCTTAATTTTAATCAACCAATTGGAACAATTCATTATCATCCTCGTTTTCAATGCCATTGACTCTTTAGAATAGTTCTTCTTCATATTCTTGGAGATTGTCGTCTTCGCCTTCAGAATCTCTGAGACCTAATCCATTGAAATTGAGTTCCTCTGCTTTGACAACACTCTTTCCCTCACTCTAATACATCTTCTGAACCTACATCTGATCGATCAACTTATCGGAACTATGGAACATAACATCCTTGGTCACATCAGATTCATGATAACTTTGTATGAATTCAATCTAATCTCCATTGGTGACCTTTTTGTCGTTGGGGAGTGTCAGTTTTTTCCTGTTCTGTTTGCCATTGCTACTAGATTGAACACTGGTAGATTTTTAATCATCAAGTTGGTTGTACTCTTATAAGAAGGTTTAGTAATGGTCTGTGAGGTTGGAGAATTTAAGTTAAAAGTCGTAGATGTCCTTCAAGATGGACTACTGCTTTTCTATTTGATTCTGGAGGTCGCTGTTTTGCTATAAGGGTGCAACAAAGCCTTCTGCACAAACCTATTGCAATTGTCCCATAAGGGAATTGATTTGCTAGATTTGTCGAGACATTTGGTGTTGGAATTGCATTTGGGATTACAAAAATTAGAAGTTTTGTTAAGGAGAGATGGGATTTGTTTTAATGGATGAAGAAGATTGTGTAACTTCATTTGGAGGGGACGACTCTTTTTTTCGTAACTAAGTGTAATCTACCAATTAATTGCACTCATACCTACTCCCCCAGTATTGTTTTCTTGGAATGTTATGTAAGTTAATTTGCTGGCATACACATTCATCAACAATGTGTTGTCATCGCAGAAGAATTTGTCATTCATCTGGGATCTAGCTTTGAGGGCAGAGTCTGGGTTGTCAAATTCAACAAAGGTTTTCCATGTGAGTGATCTCTCAAAGATGAGCATCTAAACAATTATAATTCAACAATTACTCTCTATATGGTACCGAAAGGGCTAAACACTTTAAAATACTTATCATGACTCAGAGTCTTATTAGCCTTGTTAGTTATAACAACCAAAATCACATTAGTGCGGGGAGGATCAGAGTTTCTTTCGATTTAAGAATTCATAATTAGATTTAGAGAAATTTAATATTTATTTAATTTTACATCAAATACAAATTATAAATGAATACTGATTTTACTATTTGTATTATTGAGCCTGAATCTTCCCCCACTTGCAATTTATTCAAAAATATCTTAACAACTATATAAAATCTCAAAGGAACTCCTTCTTCTACACCTTAAAGTACTCCTCCACCAAGTCTTGGATTGGCCCACTCTATTCTATTGTCTTGTCGGGTCTTTCTCTTTTAAACCTCGGGAATCTCACCGATATTCCTGTGTTCAACTACGAATTTTGAGCTGGGTAAAGAGGTGATGCAGAAACCGTATCGTAAGTGACCTCCCAAACGTCATTTTGAGAAAACCACACATGAGGTTGATCTTTAAATCCTATCAAATGGGAAGGACAACTGCCACTTGGTTTGGACATGTACCTCTTAGTCAACTCCTCTAATTTTTAATCACTAAACCCTGTCCCTATTTTAGCTATTGGATGCAATCGTCCATTCTCATAGATACCCAACAGAAATGAACCCAACCATTATTGTCTTTTTCCTTATCCATAATATCCACCCAGTACAACTAAATCAATATCCTTTTCTTTCTTAATCTTAAGCCAATCATTTCTTGACCCAGGGGTGTAAAAAGTGTCTCTTTTAATCATAATCCCCTCCAATCCATCAAGCAACGCTTATTTATAAAACCTGTCCATTTCATTTTCATTCGCAAATTTATGTGATATAATGTGACTTATTACTTGTCTCTGCTTTGTTATAGGCTTTAAGATTGAATTGTATATTTATAATCTTTAGGAGTACGTTTTATTTAACAGAATTTATTTGTTGTGATACAAAATGTCAAAACAAACCAAACTCAAATACACTGAATTCTCGTAAGTTTTATTTTGCATTTCTTAAAATGGCAAGATCTCTCCATTATGATAACATATCATCTCACAATCCAAAATTACATCATCAAATTTATTGTTATCGAAATGGCCTTTCAATTAGTTAGATAGCTCTTTGAATTGGTTTGTCTTCTCCTCTAAAGACCTACCGAACAATTTGACTTCGCCATTGGTGTAATGCACTTATAGTCTCTCCCCATCATATTTATACTCAAAATAACACCCACCCAGGTCATCATTCAAGAACTTCTTCTTTATTTTCTCCATCGTTATCTCTTCCTCCTTATTCTCCTTTTGAAAACTTTTTGCTAATTAGGGTTGTATCGGAATTCCTTTTTACAAATCTCCTGATCCCGATTGGTATCCCAATAATCGTTTTCTTTCACTCTCATCGAGTAACTATGATACACTCTATGTACTTAAACCTATTCTCATTCTTTTCTATTCAATTCAAATGACTAATACCTTCAAGAATCTAATCAAATATTTGACCTCTTGTGCACTAGAACACAAACTTAATAAGTCCTTTACCAATACTTCCTTCTATTCTTCACAGCCTCCCCCTGATAATTCAAAGATCTCTTGAATTTTTTAAAATAAACTCGAAAATTGTATAGAAGTTGATTTTTTATGGGCATTAAATACATCTTCGAAGTTGTTCATTGAATTGATCTCACCATACAATCTCTCAACTAGAGAAAACTCTAAGTTATAAGTCTGTGCTATTGCACTGTATAGAACATTAGCCGGCACAGCTGCTTCAATCAATTATGATTATGAATTAACATCACAAAGAGTAAATCGAATAAATTCCTCCTTCACTTTAAATTCTTAAGCCTGTTTTAAGGCATCTTAGAATAGTGAAATTTTTATTTTTCTTCTCGATTCCTTCTCAATTTGATCGAAAACTTAACTACACCATCTGAAAGTACTAAATTATTAAAATCTATAGAGCCGTAATTACTTACAACAAAACATATTTATGGATAATAATAATTATTAATAAAGAATTTTTTTTATTAAATTTTAATTATCAAAATGTACTTCTGAGTATCGATTGAGATTTCAGAATTCAATTAAATATTTTCATATGCACACACACACTATTGATGATAGTCAGAATTTCTTTGATAGATTAGAGGCTATTAAGTTTCCTAAGTTTATCAATATAATAAATAACATTAATTCATGATGATGAATTTAGCATCACGATATCTGTTTAATGACATACTTATTTGGTAATAAAGGACAGAATATCTTGATGATTGTATTATTAATTATTTAATTAATATATGAGTGAATAATAAACTCAAAAAAGCATTTACCCATTTTATTAATTTTGTTTAGGAGGGGCATCACAAAACTTTTTGAAGTGTACTAATTGTTTTATCTTGGGTGTTATTATATTTATTTTGCTTTCTATTCTGGTTCTATAATTGCTTAGGAGATATCAAACGGGAACTAAGAAATTGTCAAAAAAATGCATCATTTTGTACATGATTATGACCAACTTTCTAAGTAATCATGATTACCAATTCAAGTATTATTAGTAGAGTCCTTCATCATCAGCAACAAATACGTGACACAATTGGAACCTTACTTCAGAATGATGGTGTTCATCTTCTTTTACCACTACATCAGTCTTAAATTAAGCAAACTATCCACAGACAGGAAGAGAGCATAAGCAAAATTCAGATACATTACTTTGTTCTTATTCGTTTTGGTGCTCGTTGGCTTAATATTTGTACTCATAGAATTGATTTAAGACGACGACATTTTCTACGAATGCTATTGTAAGAAATAACTAATTCTAGTTAAATATAGTAAAATTTCAAGAATAGTGGGAGGGTGCGTAACAGCAATCCTCGTATTCTTTAGTGTGAAGTTGTAAAAAAAAATGGATGATAAAGTTTAACCGCTATACAAGGATCTTCCACTTTTATAGATGAAGACATTCCAAAACAATGAAACCCAAAGAGAAGACTTGAGAATACTAATTGTCATGTATAGTGCCTCCCAGTTTTTAACAATATTCTAAATGATTTACTTTATAGCAAAGGAACAGGTCAATTCGGAATAGTAATTTCCCAATTGCACTCCATGTCAGATGATTCCTTGTCTGAAGATGTCAGTCAATAACACGATTGCATTTGAACTGTTCTTGAGATTGTGTTTCCTGACCATCATTATCATATTGCCGTACCTAGCACTAATCTCCTTCTTCTGGGTCAATTCGAATTAATTGCATAACGATTATGTATAAAATTCTATATTCAATATATTGTAGCATAGAACCATCTCGAATGAAGAGGATATTTGGATTAATTTCTTTAAGAAAATGGGATACGAAAGATCTAAGATGGCATTGTCAGACATCACAGAATAATAAGAAAAATCTTCATCATTAGATTTTTCTAAATGATGACTAATTAATCAAATTAATAATAATACTTACAAAAAAACATGCTCTGATTCTCCTATTGTTTTTCTAAAATCACAAAAACTATGAAGATTTTCAGTATTTGCAGTCAACTCTAATGTGGATACTGCAACTACCTGTTTGATTGTTCTAAAATCTTATAAAATATCATATTCATTATTATTTATCATTTTAATATATAACTTTAATTCTACATCTATAATAGTATAATTTTTTAGATTCTCATTAATATTATTTAGATTAACACAAAATTTAAATAGTAAAGTTTTACATTTTCAAAATCAAATTAATTTGCTCTTAAATATGGGCGAATAGACAAAATAACATAAGAATTTTAATCAATATTTATAGACTTAATTTGATACCCATTCATATTTACTAAAATAAGATTAATTTCTTAAGTCTATTCTCAAAATCGGAATACAAGATATTATGTATATAGGAATTTGAAGATCTGGAATTTGATTAATAAAATACATAAATGATTTATACATTATAATTATATGCATTTTTGATATTGATAATATTTATCACAAAATTAAATTAAAATAATGAATAGTGAAAGTGGAAATGATGACAAGGGAAAATTCTTTAAAAATATACAAGCTCTATGGGATAGCTAATTAAAGGATTCAAAAGAGAAATGGTATTCTTTGGGGGATCAATATTGGAAAAAAATAGAACCAACATTGAACGGTGTATTGGGAGGATTAGATTTCTTAAATAAGATTGATATAGAGGAATCAAACAAGTTATTGACGATGCTCTACAAGAACCCTCTTTAAAATCTAAGAGTCCTTGATTGTGGAGCAGGCATAGGAAGTAAAGACTATGTTATATATAAAAATAGGAGTTTCGAAGGAGCTGTTGATTTAATGGTTCAAGAAAGTAGATTTGGTGGAACAGAATCCAATTTACGTGGAGAAGGCAAAGGAAGAACTTGGTGATAAAATAAGTGAGTATTATTGCGCTGGTTTGTAAAGTTTTGAGTTTCAACATAAATATGATTGTATTTGGGTGTAATGGGTGGCAAGTCATTTAACAGATGACGATTTAATATTATTCTTAAAAAAATGCAAGCTAAATTTGAATGGGAATGGTTACATAATTTTGAAGGAGAATATAACCAAATAGGGATTTAGTTATGACACCGAAGACCATAGTGTCATCAGATCAGACGCGATGTTTAAATAATTATTTTTGAAAGCTGGTTTGGATTTGAAATTCAGTGGTTTGTAGCCAAATTTTCCTAAGGATTTATACTAGGTTAATCAGTATGTATTATAATGAATCAAATTAAAACTATCAATTGTGTGTTCAATATTTATATGATTTGACATTCATTTTATATCATACTTAAGGATTCTTGAGTCTTTGTATGAATAAGATCCATGAAATGCAAGTATGTTAGTAGTTGTATGAAAATACTTATATAAGAGTGTTGGAAAATGACAAGAATATTTGGATTCGTTTCTTACCATAATGTCTTCCATGGTCTGTTGATATATTTTCATATTTTCGAGACTTTAAAATTAATTATTTATGCAAGTTCTTTTGTTTTTGAATAAAAATATTAATTAATCTTCCAACTTGTAAATTTAATTATGTAAACAAGAAATTGGAAGAAGAAAAAACAACTCCTAGAAAAACTGGCCCAAAAAAATGAAGCAAGTATGAGAGCGATAAATAATTGATAGTAGCAATAGCAAAAAATGACCAGTAGTTATTTGACAGTAATAGGGAATTTTTCTAGAGGTTCTAAAATTTCTATGAGAATGTTAAGGATATCAAGATTCCGTCCTTATAGTAATCTATTTTTGTATTCAGGTTATTGTAAGAATAATTTCATATCTCTGAATTATTAACTGATCAAGAAGTGTACAAGTTACAAAGGGATTTACATGAACAATGGACTCCAAAGCTACGCAAGAATTGGACTGACGATGATAAATAGATTCTCATCTGGGTAGTATTGAAAATTTGTTCAAAAGAGGGAATCAATATCAGAAAAATTGTAAATCATACTCTTATTTAAAGCCTAACAAAGCTTGGGAAGATGTAGTGTAGCTGATCAGTCGCCGTACAGTTGAATAATGCAAAAATAAGTGGACCGATTTATTAAAATTATCATTATAATAATTACCTTGGACTTAGGAGTAAGATCGATTGTTGCTCGATTTAATTAAGTAAATTTAATCAATTAATATTTAGAAAAAGCAAAGAGGAGGGCAAGTAAAACAAATGGTGCAGTTTAGCCAATTTACTCAATCTGTAGTTCAAAGAATCCCCAAGGACAGGAAAATAATGCAGAGAAAGATGGAATAATCATTTGAATCCTGACATTAATAGATATCCTTGGAGTCTTGAGGAAGACATAGAATTGTTGGAAATAGTGAAAAAGCATCAAAGAAAATGGGCATTTATCTCAAAAAATTTAAAGACTAAAAGAAGTGAAAATGCAGTTAAAAATAGATTTAATTGTTTACTCAAAAAAAATCATTGCACCTCTATTACTGCTCTCCTGAATATCCTCAAAAGCAGATTTAAATATGAGAATCCAACTATTCCTGTATCATCTCTTAAGAAATTGAAGGCCCATCATTATTATCCAAAATTATAGGATCATACCAAATAATTATATAATAATTAGACAAAAAATCAGACACCATTTACAATAGGGATATTTGATACTCTGAATTTCTGCGATCTCAATAATCTTCAGCCTGCATTTTACAATCCAAATTCATAAACCGTTATTATGAGCACTAAGCAGCAATTATAAAATTACCTTAATACCCAAATGGTAAAAGTCGAAAATGATGTCGTCTTGAATTTTGTTGGTGAAATGAATAATCAATAGCCAGAACTATTGAATAATGTTTCCAGCATCCTGAATATTAATGATTCTTCCAATTGTGTGAGATATGTACCAAGCATAATTCCAAATCTGGCTATAAATTCAATAGGAATCGATGATAAAAAGTAATCAATAATTTTATATCTAGATCTCAATTCAACATTCCTGGATTACAAGTCTAGAATATTCAATAAAATGGACTTTTAAGAAATAAGAATTGTAGTTCATTCTCATACTTTTCAACTTAATCATAAAATGACAATACAGATAAATCAATTCAAAATAATAGCCCAAAGCAAGATTAAAATCAAATAAATAAATAATAAATTGAGTTTGCAATTAATTAATGAAATGAAAACCCATTTTTTATATATCATATTCAATACAAAAGTACTAAGATATAACTTCAAACTCAAATAAAAAATTTAAATATACTTCGTATTGGTATAATTGGTCTTATTATAATAAATGGCAATAAGATTTCTATTCATAGAGCATAATGTTTATAATCACATTTATGATCAATTTACATTTTAGTATCATATTAATATACATAATGATGATGATATTTTTTTTTCTATTTTGATTCTTTGGAATTAGACATCAGAAAGTTAAATTTGAAAGAATCTTTCCATCGAAATAAATTGGTAATAAGAAGGCTAATTTAATTAATATTAAATTTAATAAAAATGACTCAATATTATTAATTGTTTAATTCATAGATTTAAAATAGATCGTGCTTTTCACCTTGATATGATTACTTTTCATGTTTGCCTACCCATGTGACCAAAAACTTTCCACTATTTGATACTGTGGCAAATAATTTAAAAATATTTCTTATCTAATTGACCCATTTTTATAAATCTTCCATCTTATAATTTTAAAAAGTGAATTGATTTATTATGTTTAACAATTAATTATTTTCTGTTTTGGTCATACCAAATAGGAGTATAAGTATGATCATGTATTCCTGATTCTAAATCAAAATTAAAATTCTATAATTTATTTTTCTCTTTAATTTTAGAATAAATTAATTTACCATCCTTCTAAACCAACACAAAAGAGGAATTGTCAATAAATTTGATCCTCATACCAAAAGATGAACATTTTTCTTAATTAATTATATTAATCCCTAATCAAGTGAAAACAATCTTAAGTAGCAATCCTGTCCACATGAAACTAAATATTTTTCATCTTCGTTGAGACTAAGTCCAAATATGGATGTTGAATTTTGATTAATTTGTTGAATTTTAGGTTATCCTAGTGTTGAGGTTTCAAAATTGACTTCAAAAATTGCAATTTATCCTTTCTAAGTTCCTATAAATAATTTATCTCTCTTTTTATTCAAAAGCATGGCTTTCACACCTCCATCCAATTTTTAAGTTTCCTTCTATAATTTCCATTTCATTTATCCAGTACACTCCCAAATTTTGATTTAACAATCAAAATCTCCTCCTCCAGATATAAGGATATCTGAATCCTTATCAAAAAGGAGACAACTTATTTCACCCTTATGTCTCATCGTATTCCCATTAATTTTATCCATTTTGCCTTCTTAAAAGGTCCAAAGAACTATTTCATTATGTTTTGCAGTGGCAATTAATTTATCATCCTTATTGAAGCACAAAGCTTAACATTTTTCAGATTAATTTATCTGGTTTCTTTCATTGTAAATAATTTTTTGATCCAAAAATTATAGCACTGAATTTTGAGATTCTTCATCCTCTTTTTAAGCTATACAACTAAATTATAAAACACTTAATTCATTAATTCCTTATTAATTTAAAATACCCTCTATTTTTATATTGATTGTTTTCATATTTATATTGTTTAATTATTCATCTTTAATTTCTTTCTGAAGATTTTCAAGTTCTGTTCTAATTTTTTATTTCTCATCTTCCACTTTACTTTTGGATTCTTACAAACCGTTCAAATATTTTTCCAATAAACAGGATATATATAATTGTCTTCGAATACACCCTTAACATTCTTTCCCATCTCTTAGAATTGAATCTTAGTTGGAATTCTTACTTTTAATAATTAAACTATTTTGTTATGACAAAATATTAGATTAATTCACTCCTTCATAGAAAAACAAGCTTCTTATATTTTCTAACAGAAGCATCATGGACTTTATGTCATCTATTTTTGGATCACCATTTTTAGTTATATTAGGGTCATTAGATGGATTTTCTATATTAGAAAAATAATCTGTATATGATTGATGTTTTTCTTTCAGTTTTCCGAAAAACTCTTAAATTAGCCTTTCAAATTTATAAAAAATCTTCTGTGGTTAAAGCAACATTGCTTTGGCTTATTATTTTATTAACTTAAGCTTTAATAGAAATGTATTTATTAAAATAAAAACCCAAATACGTATATTTAAACATCAAATTAGAAAATCATAATGAATCTGTTAATTTAATATTAAAAACTTTCTAGATTATGATGTAAGTATTACTTTCAACTATTCTTGTATAATATTTCATCTGAATATGCACTAACTTCCATGAATAGTAGTTGATGCTTTTTCTAATGAAACTTCTCTTGATTAATTATTGTCAGCCACCTTATCAAATTTATTACAAATTAATATGATAACTTCTTCCTTGTCTAACTAAGATTTTACATCATCAAAAGTTGACATTTATGTGATATCATAAATTAAATAAACTCCTGTTGCTTTTTATTGATGATTAAAATATATATAAGCATTTTGATACTTCAATAAAATCTCCCTGTACCTTTCCTATCCAGTTGTATCCCAATAAAGTAGACTTAATGTTTAATTATTTGATACAAAGTATTTATTTTAAGCATACTCAACTCCAAAACTTGGTTGGATTACTTTTGGCAGCCTTCTCCAAAAAGGTCTTTTATCAGGTTAAATAAAACCACAACCTATTGAATAAATGGGTTTTCCAACATCTGTATTTTCAACGCAAGTGATTAAATAATTGTAATTATATAAATATTCTTATATGATTTAATTTCTTCTAGTATGTCTATGTGAAGTTAGAGTTTTAATTTTCTTGTAATAAATAAAGTAAATTTAGGTATCAAAATGATGTTGATTTCAAAAGGAGATCAGCAATAGTATGTTTATAAATTTCTGCTTCATAACCAAGTTTTAATATTTGATCTTATAGTTTCATTTTTCTATTAATACTTTCATTAAGTAATCTTACGGTGTTATAATGATAGATTGTTTTGAGCTATTTGATTCCGTAATAAGTTATAAATATTTTACCAAATATTTTAGAGAAGTAAATTCTGACTTTAGAATAGAAGATCTTTAGCAACATCAAATATTTATTCAACTAATTTTCTTGTAGGATGACAATGATCATATCAGCTCCATACTTTTAATAAAATTTGTTTTTTTGAGTAGTTCTAAGGCTGAAACCAAGAAATCAAAGGTTTTCCCTGAGCCAGTATTTGTAACTCCTAAAACATCTCTACCTTTGAATAAAAGTGGCGTTACTCTTGCTGGAAGGAAAGTTAGATGTATTCATAATGTTATTTTATTTAGGTTATTTTCCAATTGCTATAGATTTAGTGTTCTCAATTTTTCTTCCTATTAAAATAATCTTTTTATTATTCAGTTACTCTTGAGAATTCGTTTAATAATTATCTCTCTTCTTATTGTAATAATCCTTTTTATTCTTATACAAATAATTATATTTATCTCCTTATTGATTTTTACATTTGTTTATTTAATTCAGTAATTACTTTTCTTTATCTTGTTGTTAATTATCGAGTTCTTTTAACAACCTCAGTTAGTCATCATAATAATAAAATTTATGTTTAATATGTAATAATAATACGATCATAGAATAATATAATTTGACTAATAATAAGAATTATTTGATATACATAGTTCCTATTTTATATTAATCAATTTCATGAAGAAATGTAATTGAATTTAAAAATTTATTAAACAAATTTTTTTAGTGGTTTTTAATAATGATGAGCCCAGTTAGATCAAGAGAGAATAGAAAACATTCTCAAGCTAATAGATCATTAAATTTCAGTCTTCCTAAAAGAGCTTCATCATAAATCAAGTAAAACTTTATTTAAGAAACAGAATCCATCATTTACCAAGCATCTCAAATAATTCGACTTGCTGCAGTAATTCGAATACATCTAGTCCTCCGTAAAGCTGCTCGAAATTAGAGGATGATTAAATTGATAGTACATCGCCATTTTGATTAATAGTGTCTCCTGTTTCCCAAAATACATTCTAAGATCCCTTGAATTACTTTGCTTATGAGGACTTCAATTCGATTCTCCCTGTCACTATTAATGGTGTCAAGATTTTAAAAGTTGATTGGAGTTACTTTTCAGCACCTCCAAACATTTTATCGCGTTGGAAAGCACATTGCTTTTGGACAGTTGGATACACGTTTGACATTAATATGAGAAAAATGAAAAAATCATAGAATATCAAATATAGATTAGTCATCCAGAGTTGGTGTTGTCTCAATAATAAGTCTTGGGTAAAAAATAAATGGGATAGATTGTTGGAACATGAAACTGGCCATTATTTGATTGGATGTCTTTGTGCCTTAGAATTCAAATAAAAGTATAACAAATTTCTAATAATAGAGCTGATAAATTCAAGTATACTAAGAATTACAGGATGGAATGTACTAAACTATTCTAAGACACATTTTAATTCTATCTTTAGATGGAAAAACAGTATGATGAAGAAACCAATCATAGTTAAAACGTATCCAAGTAAAAGGAATGGAATTAATTCATCAAGTCTGAACTTCTAAGATATTGATCATTTATTAATAATCTATCTCATTAATCCTTTCAAATTAGATGATATTTCATTTCAGTTCTTCAGAATATCGATTTTCCTATTATTTTTGAAGAGTGTAAATAATTGATTTTCACCTCTACAATCTTGCTAGTATAATTAATTCTAAGGTAATTAATATTTTTAAAGTTGGAATTATCAAATTATCTATCTGCTCTCATTTAGTTCTATACCTTAAATATTTTTCTTTAAATGATTTATTGTCTAATATAAATAAATTTCCTCCATCAATTATCTTATGAACAATTTCATTTCATATCGTTTTATCATTCATCATTTCAATTCCAACTTATAATAAAGGCAATATTATAAATCTATTGAAATTATAATTCCCATTAATTGAAAGGTTTAACAATTCATTCCATATAGGTTAAACACTGTAAGATATATAATCAATTTAAAATATATATCATCAATTTCTTCCTCCATTCCTAATTCAACGTGGATTTTATAAAAATAAAAATTATTTAAGCAAAATAAAAAGATTTTTAGAATAAGTTACTCAATTGATTGTAGTTTAGTTAAATAGCAACAGGATTTGAATTTAGTATATTATTAAAGATATAAGAATTTGATTATTGATTAAACAGAATTAATATATAACTCTTATTATTTTAAATAAAATTCCATTTAAACTTACTATTTATTAACAACAAGTTCTCTCTATATTTATTTGTAGGAGCTATGTTAAATTCAACTGATTAAATCAGAATTAGTATAATTTAGCAACCTAAATGATCTAAGCTGCCATTATCCTCAGATTTAATATCAAAGCCTCTATTTTAATAATTATTTGAAAAATCAGTAAACAAATTACTTCTGAAACTGCAACCAAAATAAAACCTTATATTCCACTTGAGATTCAAACGAGATTTAATTATTTGATTGGAATGTATATTATTAACCCTATTTAGTGATTAAAGTGATCTCGATTGAATTTAGACAATATAGACAAACTAAAGAGATTTGTTTAAAATCCAACTGAGGATTGACTTGAATCGAAACTAGATTTTTGACATAGAAAAATTTCAGAATATTTATTAGATCATTATATTACGCACTATTAGCTTTGCTAGATTTATTATTAAATTATTACATATAATGATTAATTATTGTTTTGTAGTGACGAACATTATGGAAGGAGGAGGGACAGAAGTAAGATTGGAAACTCAAGGTTTTATAGATTGATTTCAGTAAATTAGTATATTAATCTATAAATATGAAAGTTGGAATAGATGTTCAAAGATATTTTATATTTAATAATGCATATTTCTTAATATATTTTGGATCACATAAAGTCTATTTATGATTAAAATATCTCATTAAATAAATTATTTTATAGAGTCCATAATGAATTTTCAATAACAACCAAATATCATCAGTGGAGATTACTTTTTGTAAACTTTCTTTCTAATCAATAACCTTTATAATCAATAAATATTTTAATACAGTACAATTTATCAATAGTCAATTAGTGAATTCTTTGGTGGATTGTGCTCCAAAAGCAGAGTATAAAGAAGAAAATACTAATATTTTGGGGGATTAAAATACTGATAGAAAAATACAGAAGCCACACTAGGTCATTAGAAATTAACCAGTTGCAAGAAAATCCTTAGAAATACTTAACTAAGCAAATACTCGTTCAGATGATGAGGACAGTTCATCAAGAGTGAATGGTATCAACAAATTGTCATGATTTGATAGGTCATTGGAGCAAACAAGAACATCAATTGTATCTTTAATTTGTCAATGACCACGAAGCTATCCTGCGATCTAAATATGATAAGAAATCAAAGAAAATCTTTAAATTGATGAGCCAATGTATATAAACAAGAACAGCCACTTAATGCAGATCGCATCACTAAAAGTTCAATCCTCTATAAAAAGGCAAAAGAAAAGCAAGAAACCTTGCACGGGCCATACCATGTGTGATTACTTAAGAAAATTGATTTTTAGCTGTTCCTTATTCATTTAAGAATTTTTTTCATTTATTTTTAAAATTTACTACCTGATCATGAGTTTTCAAATATAGGGAGGATATTAATAAAAGCTGAAATGTAAAAATAATATGAAGAGAAGTCTTTATTAAGAAAATCAACTCTCTCCTAGTCCATCTACCATATATTCATATACTCAACTTTTTTCAAAAAACCTCTATAACTGAATATATATAAATGTTAATTAAATGCAATTTTATATTAAAATACCCCTACTAGTCAATTAAATTATGGAAATCAAAATAATTTTATATCTTAGAATACATAAACCAATAGATGTTTGAAGATGCCTAACAGATGTTGAATAACTGAAAAGGTTAAGAGAACCATTGTTTTTACTGAAGATAAGTATTAAGATATAAAAATAAATAGAGAGTAAAGATATACAATTGTATGTGTAAATCTAATATAGTTCATAGATCATTAGTGGTATTGGAAGACAATAAATTGTCAACATACATTAATCCATTTATTAATATGAAAAATACTTGAAAATCTACAATTTGAGTACTTCAAGATTGATGTTAATGCAAAAATCATACATTTATCATATAATAATTAAGAAATAAAATAACCCATTCATTGATATTAATTAGATAAGCAAATCATAAGTAATTTCTAAATGTAATAAGGATACTAATTTTTCTTGTATTATGTTGACATTTGCAACATTTAAAGACTTAGTGAAGCCTGGAAAGTCTGTGAAGTTCATGATATCATGGCACTACAATTTCCATGGATACTTATGCTAGCCAAATAATAATTGATTTAATAATTAGGGATTATTGATAAACCAGACTAGCACAAAAATCTTTATATTGAATCTTCTGAGATAATTGCATTTCAGTTGATTATAATGATTTAATCAACATCTTTGTGTTTTGAATACAGATTTGAAGAATTTCGTTATAGGTGATAATTCCTTATGTTGCTTTTAACAAATGTTGATTTCAACAATATGGTAGACATCATTTATAGAATAGAATTATGATTGCTTCATTTTACAATGATGGACTAGATTTAGTAGTATTGATGCTGTGTTAGTACACTCTGCCTGTTGAAAAGGAGAGACCCATCATTCAAGGCAATTCCAAATAGGGCAAACCTATGTAATAGGGGAGTGTTGAGGAAGCAGTAAAATAATTGTATTTTTTGAGATATTTGAGCCTTATTTGTTTCTGTAATTTTTGTTAAAACATATTTTAAATGTGAAAGTCCTTTAATTTAATACATATTTCAGATTAATGTTACTTGAAAGTGACCAATAATAAGAAAGTTCAAACAACAATAATCACTAACTATATAAATCTGCATATGTACTATGTCTTATAGATATACTTTCAGTCAATAAGGAATCGACGAAAAATTTATGATGACAATGATTTTAGAGAGGTTGTCAAAAACTTTTATAATCTGATCTCTGAATTGAATAAAAGTATTTAATCATCACTATCTGTTTATTAGTTAGGAAAATCACCAAACCTCACATGAGAAAATAACCAAAATAGACTAAATAGAGAAATGCAATTGCAAATAAGTAGCCAACAAAGGAACTTCCAACTACAAAAAGAGATATCAATATTAGACCTGGATTATTACAAGCTCAACAATACTTTAACTCTTGTTTCAGTCAATAAATTGTTAGTCAATTAATACCCAATTTCAATCAACCAAAACATGCTCCTGTTATATATGAGAAAAACAAGCAACATCTCCACTTCCAACGCAATCAGATTCACATTCAAATTGCTTATAACATCTACATCAAGAAGTTCGGTTCCTCCCTTGTCGAAAATTAGGATCCCACCTCAGTTGCCAAAAAAGTCATGAATACCAACTTTAATCCTAAAGTAATTATCCATTTAAGAACCAGTCCCAATTCCAGGAGGAGGACAAACAAAGTGATGCCTCCGATTAGCAAAACAAACCTATTGAAGATGGTAAATAGAAACCCTTGAAGGACTTAGTTCGAGAATTTTAGAGTGATTAATGATTTCAAAAAAATTATAGGAAGTAAGTATATAAAATAAAATCCATCAAATATCATTAATTTTTTAGTAATCTTAATTTCAACTCCATACTTGTAGATTAAATCTCCTTATTGGGTTTTGAATTAATCATGGCATTTCTTGTATTCTGTTATTCCAATATTTTATTCCTCAAGACATCATAATTCACACTCTTTCTCTCAGCAGAATGATCTTACAATTTTTGTGTTTAATTAAATTGCTAGGCTTTTGAAATTACATACCGTTTCTAATACTTTTCTTAAGACACATTAGCATTATTAGTCGTATTTCCAATTTACTATTATTTAGGAATAGGGGACACACTCAACTTTTGCAAGTGATTTCGTTTATCTCTTGTTGAAATCTCGCTATTGGGAGTTAGAGGCTTCGATATTCTCTGTTTTTCATACACTATTCCAATGATTGAATCTAGAGGATCAACAAATTCAGTTATTGATTTTCTGATGTCTGAATAATTCAAAGAAAAGAATTACAAATATGGCAACTATTCCTTAGCCATTTGATAGGTGTAATACCAACATAATGAGTTTTCTTAAAACGAAGCACTTTGTAATTTGAATATCGTATCATGCGAAACATATTTTGAAATCTTCTCTGGAATACCATTTATACTTATTTTTGAGTTTATTGGTATCAAGTCAGACAATTTTAAAAAGCTTTCACAATTCTCTTCATTCTACAATATGCAACATAAAAATAAACAAGAAATCTTTCTCAGAGTGATATTCTTTTTATCGTTCAAATTTTTCTAAATTTTACTCAAATCTTCATGATTAAAGGATTCAAACATCTTCCTCTTAAAACTTGGATTAGCATTCATATACTCCATTAATCTCAACATAGATTCTATGAGGGATTCAATATCCGAATCAGAGTTTTTTTTTAAATTTATCATATTTAATTAAAATATACGATACTTTCATTATTCTTATAAGAAATGCTAGGTTTAATTACCTATTCATTCTATATATTATGGTTTATTAACTTCACTTACTATTTTGTTCTTGTATACTTTAGTACTTTAATAATGCTTATGATTTCAATCATTTATAGTTACTCTTTGATCTACTGTTATAGATAGTGGGGTAGTTTATTCCTTCATTTTTAGAATCAATCCAAGTTGAAACACTTGAAATAGGTTTACTAACAACTTAGTTTATTGGATTCCTATAAATAGATATATATCTATACGTTAATATAGAATAACTTCATAGTATTGAAAGATAATTATTTAGAATTAATAATGCGTAGATATATCTTATTAATATGAGTTATTTTATCAAGATTCTTGAATTCAGGAGCAATCAGTTAAACTAAGATATGAAGGAATTTAGAAGCTAATTTAATATTAAAAAATAGAGTTGTGGAAAATGAAAATAAAATATAGTCAATATCTAATCAAAATAAATCAGTGCTTCAATGCTTTCTAAAATTACTGAATTGCACCTGCTTATCAAAACTGACTTTCTTATTTGATTTAATTGATCCTATAGATTATTGATCATTTGATATGTGTTCTGAACTATGATTTCCATTTTTGTGAAGTTTGAGAATGGATTTGGGTTTGAGCAAATCAAAACTGGAACTATTTGGTTCGAATGATATATCATTTTTCATCCCGCTCTCATTGCATTGAGGTTGTGCAAAGGTCTTTTTAAGCCAAGGATGTTGAGCATTATTATCCATTTCTTCTGATTATTGTGCTGTATATTACATCTTAGGTTCATCCACTTCGGTCTTCTAGACTTGAGCTAGCAAAGGAGAGTCTTCTCTTTCTATAACGTCGTCAACTACCATAATTTTTGAGACCTTCTCAAGTTTTACGGTACAGGGAGGACGTTTGATAAAGACTCGAACCTCGTGAATCGAAAGAGTACGCTATTTGGGACAGATGCTAATTCCCATTTGATCTATATGATTTGAATATTAATTATATAATAACACAAGGAGAAATGAATTGTAATTTTTAGCAATATCCTCAATAGAGTACAAGTTGGTTGGCAAAAAAGGAGAAGGAACATTTTCAGAAGTGATCAAATCTCAATCATTCAAGACTGGAAATTATGTTGCAATTAAATGCATGAAAAATAAATTCACATCCATTGAACAAGTAAGTCATACTGATTAAGTGTAGGTTAATCATTTGAGAGAGATACAGGCACTAAGAAAGCTGAGTCCTCATGATCACATTATCAAGTTGATCGAAGTTCTATAGTATGAAAATCACATAAATTTAATTTAGTGACGAACCCACAGGACGATTGGCTTTGGTGTTTGAGTTGATGGAATAGAATTTGTATGAACATATTAAAGGTATTATTATCAACATTTCAAATAGGGAGAAGATAACCTTTGAATCCTTAAAAAGTTAAATCATTTATGTACTAACTGCTAAAATCTATTGGACATATGCACAAAAATGGCATCTTTCACAGAGACGTTAAACCGTAATCAATATTCAAATTATTAGTGAAAACATTCTACTAAACGCAGACCATCTCAAACTTGCCGATTTCGGATCGTGCAAAGGAATCTACTCCAAACATCCTTATACTGAGTATTACTATCAATTCTATCTCTCACTCTAGATATATCTCTACTAGATGGTACAGAGCCCCTGAATGCTTATTGACAGATGGCTATTATGATCATAAAATGGATCTCTGGGGAGTAGGATGTGTCATGTTTGAAATCATAGCCTTATTTCCACTCTTCCCAGGAACCAACGAACTAGATCAAGTAAACAAAATACACAACATATTGGGAACTCCCAGTCAGAAGGTTTTCGATAGATTTAGAAAGTTAAATCTATTTACTATTTTAGACAAGCGACTCATATGGAAATCAATTTCCCACCTAAGCATGGCAGTGGTATCGATAGGTTACTGCAAGGATAAAGCAAGGAATGCATTGATTTAATTAAACTACTATTGATTTATGACCCAGAAGAGAGAATCAACGCTTAATAAGCGTTAAGACATGAATATTTTAGAGAGTTATATGAGGCTGATCCTTAATTGTATGGCTAGCATACTATCAGAATATCCAATCAAAAAGAGTATTATGATCACCATTTTCATTATTTAGAAATGACAACTCTTTGGAAAAGAGCCAAAGAATAGATGAAAACAAATAGTAACCCTAATAGAATGTCAAGAAAACCAAAAATTACTATGCAAAATCTTAAAAGTAATCAGGAGTAATTAATATCTTTATTGTCAACAGTTACCCTCCTTGCAATTCGATTTGAAAGTTGAGAGTATTTATAAAAATACTTAACATCATGACAGTGATGATGATCTCGAGAAATAGTCATCTAATAAATAGATGATGCTGCCTCAGATTCCCAAATCGAAAAAATATGATCCTAAAAAAATATATGGCAAATAATAATATGGGTCATCATAAAATTAGCCATATTAGTTTAATCCCAAAGGTTAGAATTTTCTGGTATTTAAGTAGGTAAAAAAGTGACTCATGGTTTGCAAGGTGAATATATAGTTTTTGGAAAGAAAACAATGAATTAATGATATATTTCAAGTGTTTTTAGTTGACTGACCATAATATATATAATAAATTAGAATTTCACTAACGAAACCAATTCAATTAACTAATTAGAATCTATTAACACGATTTTTATTTTATTTCTATCAACACAAATATAGAATTTATCATTAATTTTTTTACTCATCCTCTACTTCATAAATTGCTTAATGTTAAGTATAGTTTTTATAAGTAAACTTTCTTTTTAATGTTTAGTTCTATACAAGTTTGGGACTATTGTTGATTATTAATGTTGGATGTTATCTTGCAGAATCTGGTGAACAAGTGTCAGGTGATTGTTGATCGAATTCTTAAGTAGAAAATTTCTTAAATGCACTCTTCTTTGGATTTTCAGTTGGTGAACCATCAGCTAATGCTAAATTTTTACGTTTAGCATGTTAGGCTAATCTTGGACTATTCATCACAGGAACTTTAATTTTAATCTTTTCGTCTTCCACTTCATCTTCGTCTCTTTATCTCGATTTCTATTTGATTTCTGGTAATTATAATTTATCTGATTTTTCCATTCGAAATGTTGAAGTTTACCATAACTTGCTTTGTCCTTAACCTTTTTTCTATGATTAGAACTTCAATTTTCTATCAGTAAAACCTCCCTAAAAGAATGGATGTTCTAAAGCCTATTAGGCAGTAATTCTCTATTTTGGATCAATTTATAACATCGATTAAATTAGTTCCATGGCTGCTTAAGGTGTTCTGTAAATGCTAAGATTATCTAAATTGATAATGCATTTCTTGTTCAACTTCAAGATTTCATGATAATCATTTCCTGGAAACAAATCCTTTTAAGTGATTCTAATTATTTTAGACATGAAATCAATACAATTTGTAGAAAATGCATCCAACACTAAATATATCACAAATCTTATCATATCTAAAATTCATGTCGTTAAGATTTGCTATTTCAGGTGCAACATATCCAGGAGTTCCACATTTAGGAAATGGGTAGGTTGTTACCTGAGTGGATGTTGCCAATCCAAAATCTACAATTCTTAATCCTGCAATTTGATTGGCTTCTTTAAACATGATATTTTCAGGTTTCAAATCTCGATGCATTATGTCCAATTAATGCATTCTTGCAACTCCAGTCAATATTTACTAAATAATTAGGGAGACTCAAATACCCAGAGGATTGATTTGATTTAGTCCCAACTTAGTTGTGTTATTTAACCTTTACTTATGAGGTCGTGCAATGAATTACCTTTGAGATGTTCTAGAATAAGATAAAACGTATTTTCTCCTTCATAGACTTCCTCCAATTTAACAACTGAGTCGTGATCCAATGTGGCCATCAAATTTATCTCATTGAACAAGGCTTGCTAACGATAAAGTACAAAATTATTACAAATCCTCCATCTTCTTTCAAATATCGTTTTTCAACACATTTTGATGCGAAATCTTGCTTGTTGTCCTTGTCTAACACGAGGTACACCTTTTATAGTTGCAAAATGCTTACTTTAGAGGATCCACCCTTCCCTAATAATTTCATTGGTTAATAGAAATCACTCACATCCTTAAACATGACTCTATTTCTGAGATGAGATTTCAATTTCCGAAGTTCCTCATCTTTAGCCACGAAATATTTGACTGACCCCTTGTATTCAAACCCAAATTAAGATAGTTGTCTGTCCTTTTCAATGCTCCAGAAAATCTTAGTTTCTAAATTCAATTGCAATTAGTATTTAGGCTATTATGACTCAAGTTCCTTCGGAATTAACATCTATAGGTACATTAGTAAGAATCATTGTGTCATCAATGATATACAAAAAGTAAGTGATATCCTTTAGTAAATGCTTCCTCTGGCAAATTGTATGGAAAGTGGCTGAATCATAATTGATTTGTGTCTTGTTTAACATCCAAAATGTAAATATTAGATAAAAATATTTTTAAAAATAGCCTGTTTAATGGAATGAGCATAAATAATAAATCAGTATTCCTATAATATCTTAATATTGCTTATGTTCAAAGACAAAAAACGAAGATCAGATAAAAGTAGTAAATGCAAATCTCTTATATATTATTTAAAATAAAATTATTAGATATTTCAGAATTCTTCATCAGATAATACGTCATTAGTATGAAAATACGATTTTGATATTTGAGTTTGCATTATGCCAATTTTAATGTCCATATCCCGTATGTCATTCTATCATAATGATTTAAATTAATACCCTCAATTGATTGATCAGTTATTTTTGCTTAGATCTATTGTCTTCCAAAACTGGTGTTCTTTCCTTTACATCTAATAACTATTGATTTAATTGTTGGTCGATTTCTAACTTCTCACTGTTCCCCTTATTCAATTATGAAATTTATAATTATAAATCTGATATTTTATTCCTGTTTTATTTTAAGGTTATTTAAATATCTTCTGGTATTGACTCTGTAACTTTGGTTTCTAATTTAGGTATCAATTCTAAATAATCAATCCACTATTATTAAATTTGTTAGACTTCATTTGATTTCAAGTGTTCAGAGAGAAGAGACAATTGCTTAAATTATAAATGGAATTACTTTGGAACATTTGGAAATGGACATGATTGTTCTCTCATAATCCTTTAAATAAAGTTTATTCACTTTAAGATTAGCTTCGAATTTAGAAAACTCTTTTTCAACTCTATTGAACTCCTTAGTCCATTCATTGATTGCAACTTTGGTTTCAATGACTTATCGATCTTGAGGTACTTGATTGTAATCAGTTTGTTCATTATTATATTTCTTATGATAAAATAGAATACTCTAAGTCAACTCATCTTATTCAACTTCCTCATTTTCATTTTCTTCTTCTTAAATTTCAACAAGATCCTCATCATCTATTTTGTTAACCTAAATTACAGAGCTTTCCATATCCTTACCAAAATTAGGAGATTCAAACTTGAAATTCACTCTAATCAACTCTCTATTTAGTAAATCATTTAAAATGAAACAAACCATGTCTCCACATCCTTAAGAAATATGAGGAGACCCCAATTATTCAGGTAATTTTATACCCCATGCTTTGATATCAATAAGTAATTTTCTGGCAGTTTCTTCAACATTATGATAATTGAGTTTGATTGGTTGAGCCATTTTACTCTTTTTTTACTTGGGCAAACTCATTAGCCAGTAGCATAACTCAACAAAGTAATAGAACCTTTGATTCTGATTAACATTTTCATCTAAAGAGAAATAATATTTTGAAACTGGTTTCTTTTTCAATGGAATACAGAAATATTCATGATATTGAACCAATGACAATTTTTCATAGATATCCTTTACAATTACAATGATTTTATTACTTCCATCATCAAAACATTGATTATCTGTGGAGTCTTCTTGGAATCAAGAAAGGTATTGTGGATTTCCTTTGACTTCTACAGAACTGTGCTTGCATCAAGTCTTTTTTGGGGATCAACTACAATCATGCCTTCTATGACATCCCTCAATTATTGGCTGTATCGATTAGAAACTGGTTTAAATTCCCCTTTGGTGATATTATTAAACAAATCCATGAGAGACATCTTCTCGCTTTATTTGAAGGGACTCTTGAACTCTGCCATCTCATATGCAATGCATCCCAATGACCAGATATCTGATTTCATATCATACCCTTCGCCATGAAGGAGCTCTTCCTTTTTAATGATAATTTACCTCAGGTGACATATATAATGGTGTTCCTACTTTGGAGTAAGCCTCGATTGTCTCTGATGAAAATATACGACCCAAACCCAAATCTCCAACCTTCAATGAACCATCTCCTCCTATAAATATATTGGCTGGTTTCAAATCTCTGTGCATTATCCTCTTTTCATGCATATGGTCCAATGCACTTGCTATTTGCAATATGTAATTCCACAATTACACCTCTTCGAATGGAGTGTCATCAGATTATGCATTTTTGATTAGTTTTTTCAAATCTCCCCTCTCCGCCCACTCTGTAGCTATAATCAATTCATTGTTGTAAATGAACGAATCCAAGTACTTTATAATGTTTGGATGATCCAAGGGTTGCATGAGCTTCACCTCCTTCAAACATTTCTCCCTTTGTTTTGGATCCATCATATCAAAAATCTAACATAAATTCACAAATCACTTTAATCTTCTTTAATGCAACCACATTCCCTTCCTTGTTCATCGCCTTGTACACAGTCGAGAATTTCCCCTCCCCTATCGCTTTCTGGACCTTGTATCCATTTATTTCCTGATCGATAAATTGAGACATTAATTAATCATGTTAAATACAAAACTAACTAAACTCATCGATTCAAAAGCAGATTAAGTCAGCACATCAATTAAGTCAGCCCAAAACACATTCCAAAATCACTCATCCCAATTAACCAACCAAATTGCAGAAGCCAACCAAACCATGAAAGTTGCTGCTCCTATCCTCAAAATGGTGGGTATTACTCTAATCCTAAATCTCATAAGGACATTCAGAGGCAACACAAATTGCCAAAGGATTAGATTTGGCCTAGAAGAACCTCGTTCCCATTCTGGATTAGACCAATAAGGTTGTACAAAAGAGCACAGACATCGCCAATTCTTAAATTTAAAAGGCATAGAACTTGGCCAATTAATAAATTCAAAAAGTCAATGTAAGTGTATCATTAATACTAAAGGAGGCAGTTGGATCGCAATTGGAATAGGGTCAATAGATTATTAAGCAATAATACGAAAAAGGCATGGAAGCTATTAAAGAGAATTAAAATGTTTAAACTATTGCAGCTAAAGGTGCAGCTATAGGAATGGCGATCAATTAAATGATGGATACTCCAACAGATGATGGATTTGGAAAGATGAATTAACAATTGGACAACACTTAACAAAAATAAAATTAAGAATAATAATCTCAATAGAATAGAAATGTAATACCCACTTAAGCCACCATTAATGCAGATTTCAATAAGCAACAATAAAAACTAGAATCGAACTCTTTCCAAAACACAATTAAACAATACATTAAAAAAATTACAGGTAAATAAGTCAATTCAAGAATTGAATATTTATGTCTTATCTTGTAGAAACTAAAGGAGAATATTGACATAAATTATCTATAACAATCTAAGGAGGCATTAAAAAATGAAATTTGGAAGGCGGCTTATCAAGAAAGAAGAATCTAAAGTCATTAAATATTTGTTTAATATATGACTAAGATGGTCGAATTTATTTTTGAATATTTAACAATAGTTGAAACTGTATTCTAGCAAATCAAAATGAGATACAAATCATCCAATAACTCATTTGAAATGATGCAGACTTATTTGAATAATCTATCGATACAATTAGACTACTTTGGCACATATTCTTATGTTTAACCAAACTAAAAATTATTGAGCAGACTATTCACAAATCAAACTCAAAAATAAGAAAAATCAAAGAAGAATAAAAATAAATAATCTCATCAATCTAGTAACTAAAATATCAATGGGAACACTTAGGACTAACCATAGGAAGACAAAGATATTATTTAATAATAATACCATTTAGACTTATGCTAAAACTTTAGTAATCTTGAGAGTGAGTATCAATAGCATATTTAAAATATCTAAATATTGAAGAACAATTTGAAAGGGGATATTAAAGAGAAATTAATTATGTGTTAATAAATGGACAAATAAAAGATATCTGATTATTTGATGCAAGTTTAAGGATAACGAAACATAACCTTCGAAGCTGTCGAACAATTCTATAAGAGTTTCATTCAATACGAGCAGATCTATGCTTAGAATGTAGATGCAGCCTTTCAGGGATAACAACAAATGAAGGATATCTATGATGAAGAATACAAAATGCATTGTAAATAGATTGATTAAATTTAGATTACTTCAAGTCCCTGGTAACATAATAGCAATAGTTCGGTGTATTTACTACATACATTCTCAAAGAAATATCTGAATTTGAATTAAACAGAATAGAATTCGTATAGAAATTATTCACTTAATTAAATACAGAATTAGGAAAGTATTTTCAATTTCCAAACTAGAAATCAATTAATTTTGCTAATCCTCTAATATTATAATAAGCAAAAACAGCTTTTAACATTAATTAAATATTAACACCAGAATAGCTAGTGGTGATCAAGAAATACTCAGGTATCCCATTATAGAAGGAAATATCAACGGAGATATATCATGCCTTTGCTTCAAATTTTACAGGTACTTAATAATCATAATCTTTAGTACCCTCTCCTGATTATCTATTGTAATAATCTCCTTTGATTCTCAAGAAGTATAGTGTTCAAAGGGATGTTGCTTGGGAAAGATCGTTAAGTTTTGGCAAAGATTTTATACCCACAAATTTCATAATTTCAGTGGATGGGTTCCTGTTATTTTATGACACTGATTGGAAAGAACAAAATATAGATGAACCTCTATAATGTCATAATTTTATGGTCATTAATGATGTATGAAATGCAATATCATTTAATAGTTAGGAATTAAGGAAAGCTAAAGTGATGAGACACTGATAGAGTTGAAAGTGAAGAAGCACGGGAAACTGTTTGATACGCATAAGAAATAAATTTTGAAGATGAATGATGTGATGGAGAAGGAATCATTAAAAATATTACTAAATCAATTCAAATGAGATATTTTAAAATAATTAATACTATCTAATAAAAGTTGAATAAAAGACCATCATTATCTTGATAAAATATACTAAGCATTTGTTGGTTAATTAACATATTGGTTATATTGAACTTATTGGGACTACTCCAAATTGAAGTTTTGATTATAATAGTTAGATAAATTATCTTGACTAAATGCCATTTAAGATGCATTCTATTTTCTTTCAAATTATTAGAGTAAATCTTATTGTTGATATTGAGAAGTTTGTTCATTTGGACTTTTGTAATTTTTAGATTTCATTTGGATTGGAGTTAACGCTTAAATGCTTTGATCAGGATGTTATTAAAACTAGGATTAAGTTTAGGGTGGTTAAAAACTCAAAAGTAAAGTCTTATTTTAAGTCGGCTATTTATTGGTAGGAGGTCCATTAATCTCTTTATTTAAAGGTAGATTAATTTGGGTATTAGTTTTAAGGAATAAACTCTTATTAAATATTGTGTCCTTTTTAAGTAGAATTTAACTTAATTTTATGTTCTTCTGGTTTGAAAACGAAATCATTTCCATCGTTGACTTAATCCTTACCCAACAACTAATCCAATTGTTAGTCATGATTGAGAACATATTCTTGAAATCCATCTCTTGGTGGTTACATCTCCTTAATTAATTCTTTGCTTGGGAAGATAGCATCGCTGAATTCATCCTTTTACAAGATCTAGTCCTCATTCCTATTGAATCTCTTTAGAAACATGTTGTATTCCTATTATGTCAATGATTATATTTCGTATTTATTTAACAATTAATCCAAACATCGTTTATCGATAACAGGCAAATTACCTGCAACATACTTAAATACTGTTGTGAACTTCCATTCAACTAATTGGGCTAAATTCATCTTCTCTATTTCAATTGTTCTTAAATAATCGATCTCCTTAAATATCAACTTAGCCACAAACTCTTCTAAATAAAATGACAGTTTGTCTATAAGATTATTAATTATTCATTGATACATTTCCCTGTTTCTGAATACAACTTTCTGACTATACATTGCATAGCTGCATCTCTATCATATCTAGGAACAATAAATTCGAGAAATAATTGGTATCTTAATTTGTCATCTCCTTTACTCCATGTGAAGATCCAGAAGTCACAAAACTTTTAGTGGACACTGCATCCATTCTTACACATAAATCGAAAGATGTCCTAAGAAGTTATATATCCTTTCATGTTTGAATCGATTGCTCTAAATGCATCACTGATGTCAAATCTTATGTTTTCTGCTAATGTTATTTTCAATTCCTCAACCTAATATTAATCAAATTATAGACTTCTCTCTCAGTGATTAAAATAGTTCGAATAATCGTTATCAACTTTTCACCTATTTTCCTTTGCTGCTCATTCTCTGTGACAGTTGGGCTTAACATTTATTTTCTGTGAGTTATTAATTTAATATAGAAATATAAAATTCATCCAATTTCATACTATTTCTATATTATATTATAAAATCATTTCAATACTATATATTAGCCTATGCTTAATAAATCCATTAAATTAATAAATTTTAATTAGAAATATGGATAAATTGAGCAAGAAATTAGATAAATTCTACACTCAAGTTCATAATCAAAAAAAGGCAATCAGAAGCCATTCCAAGGAGTTTGATGATCTATCGGATACTTCCATTGATATTCAAATGTGCGTATAAGTTCCATTATTTTAGAAATCATAAGAAATAAGAAAAAAATACAATGACCAATTTAAAAGAAGATTGATGATAATTATTATTCATTCATATCAATATATTTTAAATATACTTTAAAATCAAGTAAAATCCTATTCTCCACTATTGAACTTGTGGTTCATTACACTAAAACAATAAAAAAGAAATTACCATCTATGAACTGATAAATAAATAGAAATACTTAGAATTATCCTTAATTTGCTATTTACAATAATTTAAATGATCAATTAGGCTTCTCAATTTAATTTCAATTCAATTGATCTATTTCATTTATTAATTAATTGTTGGACCTTCATTGTTCTGATATTACAAACAAGATACATTATAATTTCGTTTATAATATAAAACTCACTCTTTTATATTAATCAAAATGAAAATGAACTTTATGATGCAATGAGATTTCTTAGTAATATTAATTTATTACAATTGTAATTAATAACTAACTGGATTGTTGAGATTTAACACTTAAAAATTTAATCTCCTCATAAACTTGAGAGGTTATCTTTAATCCATTCCCTAGTGCTATTAAGAAATAATTAAGAGTTACTACCATTCTCAATTTTTATGAAGTAAACATTGAAGACTATAACATAAAATTATAAAAATAAATAATACTGATTTTATTTATTTTATCTTGGATTTGGCAATTTATCTAGCTTAAATTTAACCGAAGTGATTGTAAATTTTTAGATGAATGATTCTATGAGAAACATGATATATTGATATTAATTTTATTAAGACAAATATGAATATTAATTTTATTTAAATAATAAACTTGAGGGATGAATTATTCACTCCAGACATCTAAATCCATCTTGAGGTATAAAATGAATAAATGTAATGCTGTTAGGCAATTAGTATTAGTCATCAAACTTAAGTAGATGCTGAGGCTGAACCACTTTCTCAACTGGATTTGGATCTGGATTGACTGCCATTTTGGAACATGATAAAGAAGGCGTTTTCATAGGATAAAGTTCTGATATTACTTAATCCTCTTCTGGTAAAATTTTGCTGAACTTTTGACTTGCTACTTAGGAATTGTTTATATAAGATTCACATCTGCACTATTCATCTCTTGGTAATTCTTTTGTAATGATCTCACTCTAAACGAAATCGTTTGATAGTTTTGAACCTATATTTGAATTGGTTTTTAGTAGATTATAATCAAATATGTTGATATTTTATGATTTGTGAATTTCCTCGTACAATTACCTCAATTAGTCAATTGGACAAACATGCCATTAAGCCTACAATATTCATTTTTGTACATGATTCTCAAAATAACTCAAATTCTTTTTTTCTATCTTAACCATATAATGGAAATACATCTATAAACTCGTTTCACATGTTTCAGTGCACATTAATCCAATATTTGACTTATTATTAATTAACTCAACCTATTTTATTGCAGTAAAATACTTGCATGCTCTATAATGCTTTTTCGTCTTGAATCACTTATTATATTTTAATTCCACTTTAATTTTTGAGGACTAAGGATGATGTTCCAAAATAAAAAATAACTTTGATGCTATTTCTCTTTACCGTTTCTATCAATTATTAATGTTCTTAAAGCTATGTGGGAAGTCGTAATATATACAGATTAACTGTAAGATCATTGTGTTATATTTTTTCTTAAAGGAAAATTGTACTTGAATTCATTAATTATATTATAATAATTTAGATATACTGCTCATTAGAATTAGAAAATGAGATAACAGAGTTGAATTATCCAGGAATCTTGATGAATTGTGGAATAAACAAAGGTAGTAACCTAAATGTATATCTGCTTAGAGAGTTCTAAACAGTATATTAGAAAAGTTTAACTTAAAATATAAGACTCTACCATTTAGTATTCATCCTTCCTTCGTTATCTTCCCTCATATTTAGTTCTACGCTTTTTGCAATCCATAATTTTCTAATGAAATTTTAAGCCTAATCCTCTACAAGAAATAGAATAATATGAATTATATTGAATTAATGCATTTTTGTGGTGTATAAAAATGAAAGTTATTTAAAATTTCATTTCTTTTTTAACACAATTGCACTACAAAATCCGTTACATGCCTAAACCTTTATTTCTTCTAAATGCCCATAATATTTCTAAATAAAATCTAAAATGTTAAATATCAATTACCTGCTTATGATAGTTTCATTAAATTAGGCGGATTTTTTACACTGAGATTATCACCATTGACATAGTATTATAAATTCCGTTATTACTGAGAATAAGTCTTTTGACTAGTCATCTAGGTCTACTGAAACTTCTAAGCTTCTGACATTTGATAAATTTCAGCTTTAAATCTATAATTGGGAAATAATGAATTTCTATCAAATCCTCTAATTATCTGAAATCTATTTTCATCTAATGCAATTTCCTTTTTCTCAAAATTAATTTCACATATTCTATTTTCTAGCGAATCTAGTTTATTGATATCTGTCTTGATTTAGAAATTATCATAAATAAGATAACAAACTAGCAATTAATGAGACTTATTATAGGTTTCATCACAAAAAATGGCCACTGATTTTTGTTATTCTTTAAGTACATCCTAAAATAATAACAAAGAGAATTAATTACATCTATCAATTTGACAGCTCCTTAATTTTCTAAAAAAGGGATCTTCTCGCATTTCTCAATTGTTGTTGGATTTAGATGTGGAATCTCTTCATAAAGTACCTCTTCATTATGTAAATTAATGATAGCAACTATATCCATTAATGCTAATTAATCAAGTTTCTATTTCTTTTGAGTTTGATTTTTAGGTCTTAAGAAATCTCTAGTAGTGATATAAATGTTAGATTAAGGATGTTTTTAATCTATTTAAATACGGGTAAACTTATCCGAAGACATCAAATTGGAGTATAATCTTAAAATAAATATAATCGAAATTATTTCTATCAATTTAAACATCAACACCCAGATATTTATAAATTAATTAAGACCAAGTATCCATGATAAGAGACTATAATTTAGTTATAGAGTGAAAAATATGTTGGTTCATGGCATCTTAATTTGAGAGTCAATTATGTATAATAATTATTTATTGTATGATATCATTGATCATTTTGATTATGCTCTAGTTTCTCTTTTTACGTTTTGCTAGAGTTTAATGATAAATATTTGGATTTGACAATATTTTTAAATTTCCTCTCCTCATACATCTTATTTCCTATTCTTCCTCTTGCATTTATAAACCAAATTTAAATCTAGATAATTTAACAGTATACTTGTTTTTATGTTAGATTACACTTTTCAGCTAGTTACTCCACCTATTCTTTACTGGGGTAGGGGTAGGAATAGTGTTTATTCAGCCAGTTTTTTAAAATTATGTTGGACTTCTTAGAAAACTTTTGACTTTTTTTCTCAATATTTTTGTCATTTGTTTTCATGGTTTGTCTTTGATAGGTGAGTTTAAGTTCATTTTACAAGATTTGGGACATATAATCAAAATACTGTTGTAATGATTTCATCGTATGAAATTCTAATTGAGAAGGATTTTCACTTAATGATTTAAGGTACATGAGAAGACCTTAAAAATGAAGTACATTGGTGTGGGTTTAACTTTAAGAATGAGCTTCGTCTGAATGAGATTGTAGTATATCGTCACTATGTTTTAATAATTCGATACTTAGGACAATGATGTTAAACCCATTTTGTTAATTGTGACTCTAAGTTGGAAACTTACTATAAGACAAATTGCTTTCTCAATTCTTAGTGAATCATCAACGATTGAGACATTGAGATTTTGTGATTAAAAATCGAGAAATTATTAATGAATATCGATTTAATAAAGGATCATATAAATACGTATAAAATAAATTCGATTGTAACCTAGAACTTCAAAGTTCTTCTCATAAATATCTAAAATACTGAAAATTATATTTAAATATATTATGTGTTGTAAAATTATTTATTATATTGTTAATTTGTGTCTCAACTCAATCCCAACTACCAATGCATCTGTCTGTACCGAGTCTTACTGATTAACCCTTTGCACACTCATCCCATCCGTAGATCTTATTGGCACTACAAGCATTCGCATGACAGCAACCTTGAATTATAAAAACGATAACGTACCCTTTCTCTTTCCACCGCAATTGACTCCTCCTTTGCTTGTACATAATTCCATACAAAATTCATAGTTGGCTTCACCTTTTGTGTAAGTTTCATGAGAGAGTCTTCTTAGGTTCTACACATTTAGATAATCAATACATAATATTATTCCAAAGGTGCATATTAATACATAACTGCTGCTAAGGTGGCTGCAAAAGCTAGAAAAACGAGTAATTTGATTTTTTACATTTTAATTAATAAATATATCTTGAAACAAATTTTGGTTGGAAAAAGCATTTACAATTGTTTATTTAATAGATAAAAATTGATATACTCATTATAATGGTTGAAACAAGAGGTTTTTTCCATGTTTATTTAGAAACACTTTTGTGATTATTTATTTATAATTCACTTAATCGTTATATTATTTTGAATGCTCAATTCTTCATTTAATTTTTTTGAGGAGAATGACATAGCCAAATTGAGAAAATATGTATCTTCATAATATTTAATAATAAGTTCATCTCAAAGGAGAATGAGTGGAAAAAGGATAAGGCAGTTCTGGAGTAAAAAACATAATTGCTTGAACTCTAATTGGATGACTACAAGTTGAGAGAAACTAGCCAAAAGAAATTAAATGACACTATTACATAAGCCATCAGTGATTAAACAGCCAATTAGAAAGTATTTGTTTGTTTATATGGTTTAGAAATCAATTACAGAATTATAAAAGAATATCGATAATTAACAGAAAGACCATAATAAGACCAAGTTTAAGGAGTAGATCAAATAGTTAGAACATTAAGTAATGGTCCTTTTAAATTTAAGGTTAGATCATTATCAGAATAGCTCTAAGAAAAGGAATCCTAAACAAAAGAATTAGAATTACAATACTAAAAACAATACTTACTTTATGATCACAGAATTTCTTAACTTGAACAAGAAAAACTAGTTAACTGTTAGGAAATCTAAAGATTAAAAGAAAGTCTGGCCAAACTGGAAGACGTTTATAAATAGAAAGAATAATAATAAAAAATACTTTACGAGTAAGAACTATAAAAAGCAAAGGATCTAAGCATGTAAGATCATAAGTCAAAATAGCAGGAGTATGAATCCAAATTCACGTAGTTATCCACTTAATATGAAAAGGAAAAGGAGTAACTCTAGTTAAGAATCAGCAAATGTTAGAATACAATTAAGAAATATCAGCAACATCTTGAACAGAATATTGATATTGTTAATTTGAAATAATAGTATGAGGATTAAATTAAATAATTGAATGATTAAAATGCTGAAAATTAAGCCTAATTCACTTATGAAAAGCAAATTCTATTGAAGTAAATTGAAGAAATGAAAAAGATGAACCGAGATTCAAATTAGATTGAAAGTATGAATTGTCATCATAGTACATCCAAAAAGCGAAGTATTGATGCTATTAAATTAAAGAGTTCTCTCTAATCATATGATAGTCCTGTTTAATGTAAAAGTTTTCATATTGCTTGTCCTGAAAGTAAAGTGCAAATTTACAATAATTACTTGAAAAACTCATCCACTTAATCCATTATTCTTGCTTAAAAACAATAAATCCAATCATAATTATTTCAAAACAATCAATCACTTGATAAATCTTCAAATATGAATGAAGGAATGCCTATTTCAATTGAGTAATTTAATCTGATGAAAGATAAAAAATAGAAGTCTTAATCAACCTTATCTATTCCAACCAGTAATAATTATAATCTAAATTCCTATTTATAAGAATAAAGCATATTTTAATAGAACCAAGAATCATTTTAATTGGATTCAAAAAATAACATAAAGGAAGACACATAAAAACCAAAAATTTTGAAATAATTGAATCCAAATATAGCCAACAGACAAATTTAATTTGATTACAATAGGTCTATAAAACATGAATTATAAAAATAAAAAGAGTAAAATTGTTAAAGATCAATGTCTTAGGAAGGAGTCAAGTAATAAATATCAAATTTAAATAAAATGTTGGGTCAAACTGAAATCAGTTATTAATAAAGTACTTCTACTTAACAAAAAACTAACAATACTTCACTTAATAGTTTCAAAGTCCCTGCTTTTACTCAGAATTAATTGAATAGTTTAAAAAACAGTTCATAATACTTGTGTCCCTGTACAACATTAAGGATTAAAGAAAACATACAAAAGATTAGATATAATAATAATCATAGCACTCATGAAGAGACTAAATAAAATAAGGAGAATTATTAACCTATGAAAAACCATTCAAAGAGTGACATTAAAGTTATAATTGGTAAATTGTTGTAAAATAAAGGAAAATAAAGTGAGCATCTTGAAAATACAGGGTACATCATTAAAAATAACAGGATTTGAATCAATTTTATCGTATATTGATAATATAATTATTTTTATAATACTAATCCATTTTATTCTATAGTTAATTTCCTTCAAAACAAAACTTTTAATTAATAAATTCACTAAAGAAATATATAATTGAATAAAATATTATTGATTTTTTGTTAAGTAAGGTCATTGAAGGTTTAAGAAGATCGGAGATCAATACAGTATTATTAAGAGGAATAAACCAAAAGGTTTTATCATTTTTTAATATAACAATAAATTAAGGATATTTTTTTTTATAACAATTCCATTATAAAATGGTGAATAATCACTTTATTAAAAAATGTAAGGAATTTTACAATTAAACTATACTAATAATTTAACTTAAAAGCATATAACTTTGAACATACATGAAATTATAACTTGGATCTTTAGATTAATAAATAGATTTAAAATTTTTATTGATTTCGGTCTTATAACATTCTGTGTAATGTTTGCTTTAAATTAATCATACATTAGAGACATTAATTTTGATAATTTCTTTATTTCTCATTTTTTAGTTTATCAATTTATCTTAATTTAAATGTTTGATGTTTTCGAATCTAAAAATTGCAGAATTAATTTAAATACTATGTTGAGTGAGTATTCAATAAAGAATATCAGCAAGAACGTTTTTTATAGAATTAATCAGCCTTTAAAGGAGAGTAATGGAAGAAATCTTAGCTGATTTCCTTAGGTAATTAATAATTATTCATAAAATGAACTTTTTTTGTTTCATAAGGATTCTAGGATTGAAGTAATCTCTGAAAAGATTGCCTATTTACACTTAGAAATTGATTTACTAGATCATTATTTGAAAAGATTAGGATAGTCAGTTTATAATTAAGGTTGTTTTGGATCAAGATATTGGGAGGATAATTAGTAAGAAGGAAGGAGGGGGAGTGTAATTTATAAATAAATTTGGATGGGGGTAGAATTAATAATATTGAGGAAATTTTACAAAATTCTATAATACTAGTTAAAGAATTTTGTATTTGACCGATTATTAGGGATTTGAGTTTGAGTTATAGTAATTATATTAATCTAATTGTGATGAAATTTCCTAGAAATGACAATGAGTAATTATGTGATTTTATCACTTTAATAGTCATGAGGATTCAGATGACTAATAGATAACAGGGATTTCCCAATTTTAAGCGAATAAATTGAAACAATAAGCAAAGGAAATGAACTAGATGTTGTTGTAATTGTAGGAGAACTTTGAAGATGAAGACTGTGACAAATACTATATTTTGAGCAAAAAGTATTTAAACGAATTAGATTACTTAGTTGGTTTGATTAATGGAAATAGCATGTGTCATATGATTAAGTTGTAAATGGTCAAGCACCTGACAAGAAATTCGGATAAACAATGTTGCAAAATTATAATAATGAATTGCTAGAAATGCGCATAAATGAATGTTTCAAATATTATCCGCTTAACTCCAACCCTTGGAATATATGGTTGAAACCCAATTTACAAGAGGATAAGGATTACATTGTGATTTCATAATAAATCTAGAACTATCTGAATTAAAATTACAGAGGTCCTTAGATTGTGCGAAATTCGGTAGGACAAGGCAAAGATAAAAAGGTGGTTGTGAATTTGTTTAAGGTAAATATCATTTGATTTTTAAAGTTCAATGCCGCATTGATTTTACCTAATACGATTATTTAAATCGCTTAGGATAATCTGACATAATTCGAAAAGGAATATTTATAAGCAGATGAGAATTGTGTATTGAAGGACTTTTATGCTTTAATATAAAAAACTGTGCATACTTTTAGGGGTAATTACAATAATCAGAATGGTGTTAGAATTTGGAGATACAAAAATTAAAATGATCCTCATAAGGCATTGTTTGCAGAAATCAGAAAGCAGGTTTAGGATCTTGATTTCAATGATGATCAAGTCTTTGATTTTTCTGGAGATCCTATTGAGAATTCAGCAGACATCACATTAAAATCATTAAAACTTACTGATAATGACCTTGTTGTAATTGAAGTATTATGTTTTACTAATAAATAAGTTTTAACAAAGTTTTAAGCCCTGGTGTATTAGACATCCCTCTGTGCCAATAGAAGGTAAATGTGAAAGTTGTGGTTCAATCAGTGAACTTCATTTTCCATGTAAATGCAAAAAGGTAGCTTATTGTTCAGAAAAATGTAAAGTGAATGACGAACGATATCATCTTCCAAAATGTGATCCATGTGGATCTGATGATGAATAAGTAAAAAACATGAATATCAGTGAACAATCTGTAAAAGGAGTGGCTGGATTGGGTAATCTAGGCAACACATGTTTTATGAACAGTGGTACTCAATGCTTATCTAATACATATCAATTGTCCGAATATTTTATTACTAATAAATATTTTGATGAGATTAATGAGGACAATCCTCTAGGAACTAATGGATAACTAGTCAGAAAGTATGCCTCCCTTATCAAGAAATTATGGTGTGGTGACAAAAACATAGTAATCCCAACTAGTTTCAAAAAAGCAGTTGGATAATTCTAACCTATGTTCAAAGGATTTTAATAACATGATTCTTCTGAATTAATTACTTTTCTATTGGATGGATTACACGAGGATCTTAATAGAGTCAAAAAGAAACCTTATGTTGAATCAAAGGACAACCAAGGGAAACCAGATTTTGAAGTGGCAAAGGAAAGTTGGTAGAATCATCTTGCTAGAAATCAATCCATTATTGTTGACTTAATGCATGGACAATATAAGTCAACTCTTAAATGTCCCACATGTTCTTAAATTTCTATTACTTTTGATCCTTTCTTGACTTGTGGACTTAGTATTCCTAGTAAAAAATTAAAGTCCATCTAAATCAAGGCAATCAAATCAATAGTTCAAATCGAAACTAAATATATCAACTTTGAAGGATCCAAAAAAACAATGCCCCTACATGAATTCACTAAGGAATAGATTATTCCTGAATTTAAAATCGATCCAAACTAAGAATTAATCTATTATACTTCGTATTCCAATGATATTCAAGATCTAATTGATCCAAAGTCTGAGATTAATTCCGTTAGAAAGAATTCAAAGAGAGGGTATCTAGTGGTCAAGCCCTTGAGTGAAGAGGAGAAGGCAATACCTTTAGATGACAGAATCTATTTGAGCTATTCTTAGAAAGCCTTAGATGGATTCGGCTAGTAATATAAAAGAACTATTCTTTAATAATTCTATGTAATCATAGAGAAAGAACATACTCTTAAATAAATACATCTTGCCATTTTTAAGGCCTTACTACCCATATTTTGTGATTTGGTTTCAATTACTGATTTGCAAACTCCTGAACAATTGAAATAGTACTATGAGGATAACATATACTAAAAAGTAAATATAATCTGATAACAATTTAGTATTACACCATACAATTCAAATCTCCAAGCACTTATTGGTAATCTTGCAGTTTCTGTAACTTGAAGAATTGTTCAGATTGTGATGCAGATTACATAGATGAAACCTATCAAAAAATTAAAAATAAGGCACAGTAGAACGATCTCTATACTAAAATAGAATTGATTGTGTTTTGGAATAAGAGTCCTTTTTAGAATGTTAAACCAGTTGACATCTACTAATATTATTAGAATTAGCAAAATAAAAAACAGATGGAAGGTATTTTAATGCAATAATTGTTTAGAGGAGAGGAATTCTACGAATAATAATGATGAAAATAGCAATAATAATCTAAATAAGCCAAGATATATGGCCAAATCTAATAATTATTCGAATAATAATGCAATCCAAAAGGTTACACTTTAGGAATGCTTGAAACAATCAGAATAGCCAGAATAATTGGCTGAAGATAATGCATGGTATTGTAAGATTTGCAAAGAACATGTCCAGGCTTTCAAGAGTATGTAGATCTATAAGGTATGAGCATCAATATAACAATTAGGCATCTGATATTTTGATATTCACATTGAAGCGATTCAAAGCATCAAGTGGATTTTTCAAATAGAAACTTGAGACCTTTGTGGACTTCCCTGTCAAAGGTTTAGATTTAACCGAATTCATTCTGAATAAGAATCGACCATTGGATTATGATAAAGAAACGCAGCAGAAGGAAATGATAGAAGAGGAATTTCCAGAGAAAAGAGACGACCATAAGAAACTCATATATGATTTATTTGCAGTATCAAATCATTTTGGAGGCATGGGAGGAGGACATTACACTGCTTTTGGAAAGAACCACGTACTTTAACTGTTTAGTGTTAGTTGAATGGAAAATGGTACAATTTTGATGACGCTCAGGTGAATGAAGTGGATGAAGATTAAATTATAACAAAGAGTGCATATGTGTTGTTTTACAAACGTCGATCAAAAGAGGAAATCACACAAGACTTCAACACATAAGATTGAAATTTATCTATATATATATACAAAGTTGACAATATTTATGTAAATTAAAGACTCAAGCTGACCTATTCTAAGGGAAAATTGAGTTAAGTTATATAAGTTAAATTAAATTAAATAAAATAAAATTAAGTTATCTAAGAAAAAAAGTAATATTAATTAAATAATAAAAGCAACATGCTAATGTATATAGCATTTATCAAAATTGTATATATTTTATACTACTTTTTTTGTGCCAAATATTAAATAATTAAATTTATTATTAACAATTATGGCACCAAAGAAATAAGCATAAAAAAAACAAACTCAGACAAGTACAATCTCATCGTTATTCCTTAAGCTAAGAAATAACCAACTAAAATAGAGAAGGTTCAACCAGCACCAATAGTTCCAAATGCTGCATAGAATAAACCTAAGAACAATAAACCAGATTTCTATTTTGTGATTCCCCAAGATGAAGAAGAGCATTACAGAAGAGAAGTGTACCAAAGGAGAGAAAATAGAAATAAGAGTTGCATAGATATCAATGAAATTAGACAGTACTATTATTATTAAAAGGAGGGATAATTTCGCGCCTCAAGAGATTCCTGCTATTAACAAGGTAACTTAAAAAATTGTGATCGAGCAAGAATGCACCAATGATAATACACAGTTATTTACTCTGAATCCATCAGAATAATCAACCAGCTTTTCTAGATAATTAAATAAACCTAAAATAATATCCATAAAACCCAAAAAGCTATTAAGTACTGCTAAAACTCAAGACCAATCAATGGACATGGAGGATGATTGGTATGAAGAACTTAACAAGGACATCAATCATACCAAACATTTCCTATTAGGAGTTCCAAAACCACAATCAGATCATAAAGAGAAATCCTTAACAACTGAAAGGAATTCTACCACTAAGAACATTAAGAAGATGGACCTTGATTTACAAATTGAACCTTCCTAAACAACTGCTAAGTTAACAAAGGCTATGAAAACTAAATTAGATTCCATGAATGAGTGTTACAATTCCCTATTAGAAGCAACAGTCCCAGACGAGATTCTCTGTAGAGATTAAGAAAAAGACTTAATTACTAAGTTTATTGAAGATGGCATAAAGAACAACGGTCAATCTTAAGCATTATGTAAATGCATTCATATTAATTTTTAGACATCTCTGGAGTTCCAGGAATTGGTAAGACTGCAACTGTTATGGAAGTCTAAAAGAAGTTGTCAAGTAAAAAGGATAACTTTTAATTTATCTATGCAAATGCTATGAATTTTGGACTGCCAGACAATATTTATTCCTTTTTGTTGGAGAAACTTACAAATATAAAGGATGCTTCAAAGGTTCAAGCATGCATTTTGTTAAGTATTTCAACCTCATTATTATTTTAGCTGAACTCTTCACTAAGGGTTGCTTACCTGCTACATACAAGGCTTATGAGAAATCGGTTGTTAAAAAGAATAGAGTAATTTTATTAGATGAATGTGATAATCTATTCACTCCTGACTAATAAGTGCTTTATAATTTGGTTGATTGGCCATAGCAAAAACATGCAAAATTGACTATTATTATGATTGCCAACACAATGGATTTCCCTGAGAGACTCAAACCCAAATTACAATCAAGACTGGGAAATCATAGGGTTGTATTCAGACCTTACACCAGTGCTCAAATCGAAACAATATTACAATAAAGAATGAAAGAGAAGAAAATTAAGGAATTATTTGCCTCGAACACTCTAAATTATCTAGGTAAAAAGATAGCCACTATATCTACTGACATTAGAAAGACTTTGTGTGTTTGTAGAAAGGCAATTGAGATTGGCAAGGAGGAACTTGTCAAAACTGGGTAATTTAAATAAATTGAAGTTAATCACGTTAAATTAGCCTATGATAAAATTTACAATAAGGCTTATCACTCATGCTTACATTCATTTAGTAGATCTCTGAAATTACTGATAATTACTATTGCCTTAGAAATTCACATCAAAGGATATAATGTAGCATATCTCCAACAAGTTCTTTCGAGATATAATCAATACTTAATATAAAATAAAGATGATCCAATTGGATATTAAGAGATGAAATAGATACTGCTGAAATTGAGTGAGTTGAATTTAGTAGAAATAAAAGAATAGAATGTTCTGTTAACCAAAACATCTTGGCAATAGAAAGTGAATGTAAATTATTGGTTTGATTTTAGGACTCCCTCTAAAAGGATAATCTTAGAAATATTAATGAAGTGATGATACATTTGAAAATAAATGTAGACGACATAAAGAATGGACTATCAAATGACACCTTGTTTTTATAATTTTCTTAGTTTTTCTGATCTATTAATAATCATATTATTGATAATAATCATTATTTTTAAGCATTATTTTACTTCTCAATCTCCATATTGTGATCGTGAATCCATTTGTTGATTTCTACTATTTTGGCTTGCATTTCAGCATCACTTAAATTTTGTTCACTTTTTACACCGATGATCTAGGTGATTACTTCATCTAATGGCTTCTTGGCATGTTCTTGAGTAAAAGCTTTGGCCTTAATCTAATATTATTGTAGATTTTCCAAATATTCAGAAGCAATAGTTGTGTCTAATGGATCATCAGGTTCTGGAGTCATCAATAAGCCTATTTAATAATTAGAGAATAGAGATACCGAAAATAGCCTAGAATATTTAAAGTACTGTTGTGTCTAAGGTGTAATTTCGATCCAAGATGCTATGACATATTCTTCCTTGAGAGTTGATATTGCAATGATAGATTGGGGTAAGGAATCTCAGATTGGGAGGTTTGATTGGATAACTTTCATCAAATTGTAGATAAAGTATGTAGACCCCTCCTTCATAAGGTGTTGATTCTGGACCCAACAGAATAATTTTCCAAAATGAGACATTCCCTTGACATGGGAATATTTTGATGTGTGGATGAGGATGTTATTCATAATTCAAAATCTCTTTTATCACTCTCTTTAATGAGTTATTGGATGCATACTAGAATAGCTTATTTTAATCTTAAACGATTTCCTAAACAAGTTGTTAAGGATGCATAGATTGTTGATTTAATTCATTTGGCAGATTGATGGCTATAGGGACTTTATCGAATTCAATTTATGAATCTTTCAATTTAAAAGTGTCTCTTAATTGTTTCAGGGTTATTTTATTTTACTTTTATCTAATTGAAGCAGACAAAATAGTTTCAAATTCAAATAGTTTCAATCCTTCTTGTATAGTTTAAGGAGAGAAACATTGTCCTCCAGTGGCCTTAGTTATTTTCTTTAGATCTGTACAATCATCTGATACAACAAAGGAATCTAATAGAATTTCATTTTTCAGTATGGATTCAGCAACCTTTATTGGATCCAAAGGATGGTTATCATTATCTTATCCATCTGTCAAAGCAATAATTCTTAACAAACACTTTGGATATGTTTACTTGAATTTTAATAATTGATTTTCAGCATATTTCAAAGCCCTGTATAGATTAGTTCTACCAGTAGGTTGGGCCTTATTCACTAAATCTTTAAACAATATAAAGAGTTCTGTAAATGAGCATTTCTCAATGATTCTGTTATCAAAATAGACCAAAGAGATAACATGTTTCAAATCATAAGCCATAGTTCTATCAGCAAATGTACTGAAAAATGCTTTAACAACTCCCATTCTCGTCAGATCTTCACTGTCATAATATAATTCATCCATAGAACCTGATATGTCAAGTAAAACTACAATTGCCTCATTAGGAGGATTAGTAATCTTTGGTTCCATCACCTTTTCCTTATTTTATTCAGAATCATCATCTTCATCATCTTAAGGCATAGAACCAATTTATTATAGAAGAGCCAACTTATCTGGGTTCATAGGTGTTGATTCACCAGTCATCACATTAAATATGAGTATTGGTTACTTGACATCCTTATTGCACCCTGAATAAATTAAAAATTCATCTGATTTTTTTGTTGTCAATAAAGGATAGGTCTATAAATTTTTTAATTCAATTCCACTATACAGTTTTAAAGATTAATGACTAGATACTACTTTATTCTAAATCCAAGCATTTGTTATTTCGAATTTATTATCATTAAAATCAATAAATGCTGATGGTAACCAAATCAACGTTTCCCTCTCTTACAACATAATTAAATCAAAATCCTCTAATAATTAATCTGGCTATAATATTTTTAGTTGTGCATAAGGAATCTGTTTTTAATAAACCTCATTATTTTAAATTTTGATTTGCATTTGATCATAATCAACTAATAAACAAGTTCCAAAATCAATTTTATCTTCTTCCGTTACTTATGACAAATAAGCTGGATTATTAATTTTCTTTAATGTAATGTTACATATAGAATCAATGAATCTGTATCTTTCTTATAACTTAGCCTGGTCTTAATTTAATTTCAATGACCAATTCAATAATTATTCATAAAAGTATCTTGAATATTCAAATGTTTTGTTAATTTAGAATGTTTCAGGTACAGTCTGACTTGAAATGATTAGATCAAACATAACACGTTACATACCTACTTCAAATGCTATGCATTATAATTAAGAAGATCTCAGATTTTGAGAGAATAGTTTACATGCTAATACAAGGGGAGCATTGTTCATTGAAACCTTCCTTATCACTGCCATAATCTTTGGATCATCTTGCTTAGAAAAGAATACTAGTGAAACTGATCTAAATTATTGTAATCCGATCTGAGTTTATTCTCTTAGATGATTCATCCAAGGAAGATGAAAATTATAATTATAACTTTATTAAAATGGATAAGAATCCAAGGCCTTAAATGTTAGGATAATGTTGCTTAAATTTTGTATTCCGTAATCTTGTAATGTGCCTGTGTTATCCAACACTTTACCCACATAATGTAATTATTAAAATGTAGTTGGAATATTGAGTTTATGATATATTTTCTATTTTAATTCTAATACAGTTGTTGTCAAAATATTCACTTTGATGGATTTAGACCCAGAATATTGAATAAAGATCTATTATTCTCCTACCTCTGAATCTATCTTAGGCAAAGAAGGTTATCCTACTTTGCATTTTGTAATTATGACAAATATTTCTTTATTCTTTAAACAATTTAATGATTCCGAAACCTTTACATTTTGCATTTAATTTAAGGATGCACAAATTGGAAGCCCACTTAAACTATAGAAGCAGGCTACATGATCATTTTATAATTATAAACCATTGCACACCATTTCAGACACTTTTATTAAGGAGTCTTCTAAATTACATTTAAGTTTATAGGTCTTTGTGATATCTTTAGATTAGATAAATCTTAAAAGCAATTCTAATTCTCCTATCTATTAAACATTCTCAATGCTTTAAGTATCTAAATAAAATTTCTGTTGTAATTCTTTTAATTAGTCATTATTTAATAATGTATCTGAAGTAGTAATTTAAACTTGTGGATTAGCAACAGGTTATGAAGCTTATAGTGGAATTGCTTTAGGTTTTTTTACCTAGTAGGCTAGATTCTTAAAGTTAAGTCCAGAGGTTGGATATGGATGTGCTAAGAATTATGAAAGTAATGATGTTTATGGTTATGGTTATTGTTATTGTTATTATTATTATTATGGTTATTATTATGGTTATGTTTATGGTTATTATTATGTAACAGTATTATTTAAGGAAGGAATGAATACTAAGTGGATTGTTTCATTATCTTTAATCAAATCTAGCACTAGATCATCATCATCTAAAATACTGTCCTAAGTGTCTTTTAATAAGTAATTTTTAGCCTCAAAATTCAAAGGTATGTTATCGAACTTGACTTTTACTAGCTAAAGGAATAATACAAGCACTTTTACTTTTTAAAGCTTGCTCAGACGGTCAACAGAAAATTATTTTAGTTCTCCGATAATTGTGTCTTTATCTGCTTAAAAGCAAATTTTAAATTATGTTTGGACATATTTAATCGACAAAGTCAGCTTGTTCATTGATTTAAATAATTGATTGCTAAATTTATTATTTCTTTTAATTCTATTGGCATCAGTTTATAAATTATATTTTTATATACTTAGAATAAATTAATACGAGGGATTTTTAATTGTTAATTTTAATTTAACAATCTTTTCATTAAATTTATAATTAACATTAACTAAATCAGAATTATAGTAAGAATTCATTTTTATTATAATATTTATATAATCAAATATGCCTTCGCTTTTGAATTATGATCATCAATCATTGAAGTGATTGAAATAAACCAGAACATTTATATTGCAATTGAATTAGATATATCCTACAAGAATTAATTGTTACAGAATATTCCAACTAATCATAGGTGAATGTGAGTAGGCGAGAAATTTTCAAACATCAACAATTTCATTATTATTTAGGAATCTTAATTTTAACTAAATGCTTAAAAAACAGGAAATATATATCTATTATAAAGTTTGAATAATTGTCAATTTTCAAATGAAGTATCATTGAATAAGTAATTACATTATAAATAATAATAAAAATAATTAGCAGACTCACAAATTGATAAGACAATTTAAATAACAAAGATATAAAGAATTATTCAATGATTTGTCAATAAAGGTTACATAGTACAGAAACTTCATAAATGAATATTACACCAAAATTCAATTTTGATAAAAGAAGTAGATAATATATTTGAGGTCTTCTTGATTCCTATAATAATACATTTCAAATAGTTATTTTTATTTAATTAGTGATTCTAGTGAATTCAATATGAATATCAAAAACTAACTAATTGCATTCATTAATATTTTTCCATGATAATATTTATCTTAATAATGAATACGATGGGCGCTTTTCCTTAATTTAGTTTCACAAAAGAATAAGCAATTTCATTGTACCCAACAGAAGGAGAGTTTTTTGAATACTATATTGATACTACGGTATTAGATTAATAATTAATATGCAAAATTGATCCTTAAGTCCCAAATGTATAAATAATGAACTTATGCGAAGAAATATACTAATTATAAGGGAATTGTAAAATACTAAGAATATTATTGTAGAATATATCTCAATGTCGTCAAATAATACTCATTTTGTCACTTTATCATATAAAAATGAAGTAATTATATATCAATGGAAGGATTAATTAATTTAATAAATTGGGGAATCAGTGAAAATTGATTCTTCATTTAATTGCTTTAACATCAATTTGTCTTACGATTTTTAAATTTTGATTGATTGCTATTAGAATAATCAATTGCTTTTTATTCAAATAGTAGATGCGTAATCAATAATTGCTTATTCAATATAATAATCTTTGCCTTTTTCAACTAAAATATAATCTATTATTAATGGAACAAATGCTTTTATAGTATACGCTTAATATTTTGAAAATCATTCGATGCTTTCACTTTTTTCATCATAATTTGTAAATGAAAGTAGCTTAACAAATTAATTTGTAGATTTTGATATTCCACTTACAATAAGTCCCAATATTTATGCAATTACTAACCAATATTTATACTAATTAACCGTATCTTAAGATTCTCAATTTTATTTAAAAAATTAATTTAGCTAGGATAATATGAATACCTTTACTTGTATTAATGTTTATTACGATTTATAGATTTTTTCTTAATGTGATCAAATATTATTGATGTATACTTTACCTTATGAAGAAATTTGCATTATTTCACTATTAGGATGTGAAAATGAATTAGTGATTATAGATTAGTATTGTTAATTTGTCTTTGAGTCCATTTCAAAGATACTATAAAATAACCAATTTATTATATATTAATTATATGATACAATATCAATTTAAGAAAAATAGTCAAATGGAGTAGTTTCATATGATCTAAATCACTAAAGTAATTCCCTATTATATTTCAATTCTGATAATGAATTATTTGTGTTTAATTCCTAGATCATTGCTTATAAAATTTCATTTCCTTCCTTATAAGTCAATTTAACTAACTAAGAAAATGCAGGAAATAATTATACTTTTTTACTTAAATGTCAGAATAAGGGATAATTCACCTTCTCCAAGGTGTATCTTCAAGTATTAGCTTAGAATGATACAAATGTATATGTAATGTTTAATTAATATCTTCCTTAAAATTAAACTTCATTGAATCTTAAAATTACAAATTTTTTTGTTAGTTTTTCAGGGTAATTATTATAGTATCAACAAAATCCAGCTGGAATACCTTTAAATTTTACATTAATGGCTCAACAATAAGCTGGAGAACTTTATTAAAGTTATTTAATAGTTCAATCATTGTCAATGTCGTTAAATTTTTCT